TCGATCAAAAACACTTATTCTTGTCAGAAGGTGAGGCTATATTAATGATGACCATTATTCAACTTTGTGGCATGACATGATTATCAAACAAAATTATGAGATGTAAATTTACACTATTATTCAGACGGATGGTTGATGTTTTTAGCTATGAAATAAATTTTAGATAATGGCACAGTGTATCTTAATTCCATAACGGACAGATAGCATTGACGTTATTAATAACCTGGGATTTATAGACTTCTGCTTTGATACTGCAATATTAAGAATAAATTATCGTACTTCGATGTCTGTGTGGCTGAAAATACTTGATAATTATTGGAGCAGGGATAATGTTAAAATTTTATGTATTTAAAAACAGTCAAAAAGGCACTGGAATTTTTCATTATGATTCTTTTGCAAACCAGTATGTCAGAATGTTATAAAAAAAACAACGTAGGTACAATCAGTATGTTACTAAACAACATAGGTACCTTTAGTATGTTAGTAAACAACGTAGGTACCTTCAGTATGTAAGTAAACAACGTAGGTACCTTTAATATGTTACTAAACAACGTAGGTACCTTCATTATGTTAGTAAACAACGTAGGTACATTTAGTATGTTAGTAAACAAGGTATGTACCTTCAGTATGTTAGTAAACAAGGTAGGTACCTTCAGTATGTTAGTAAACAACGTAGGTACCTTCAGTATGTTAGTAAACAGCGTAGGTACCTTCAGTATGTTACTAAACAACGTATGTATTTTCAGTATGTTAGGAAACAACGTATGTACCTTTAGTATGTTAGTAAACAACGTAGGTACCTTTAGTATGTTAGTTAACAACGTAGGTACCTTCAGTATGTTATAAAGGTTAAAATTCATTTGATACATATTCTACATTTTAAGCTACGCAAACAAGGAAAATTTAATCTAATTGGCAGATTTTTTTTAAAAACTGTGAAACAAATTGATGAAAACATTGGGGTGCTGTCCTCTTTTTATTTTGATTTTTGCACCATTAAGCCCATTTTTGTTTACTCTTTTATGTCATTTTCATTTATTCAGCTAGTTTAGAAAGAGTTTATCTATCTGTCTGTGTCTGAAATACAACAAGATGAGATTCCTTTTCCTATGTAAATTGTCAGATTGTCACTTTATGACTCTGACAGTGATGGTTAAAATTAAAAAAAACATACTTGATTGTACCTAAATAAAACATAATATAATATATAAATAGTCAAAACTTTATAAACTTAAATTGATATGTTCCAGTAATACATTCGTTTAAATACCCCCCCCCCTACTGACTGACCATTGCATGTTATATGAGAATTAATATGTATGTTGCACAACGACTTAAATAACGCTTTAAAGCCGCATGCCTCCAGGGGAGCCAAAATATTTAAAGAATATCAAACATGAGAAAAATGTACTGAGATTTCAAGAAAAGTAAAAAGATTCAAGATAAAAACAATAGTTTCCTGCTATTAGCGATAAATGGCAGATTTTGTCATATATTTCACCATACTTCTACTGCGTTACAAGAGCAGAGAGGGCTATTTTGCATATTTAGACATCATTTTGGTAATTAACATGAGTTGTAGGTGCAGTTTGCAATGTGTAAATTATTTTCTTTGTTCACTTCACAATATTTAACTTTTTAATACATTTTCAAAATTTTATGAAAATTAGCAGGAATGTAGAGGTGTGCTCCTTGAAACAAATGTCTTTGCTGTCATTCATTGTATCTACATTCTTTATTACGTAAATGATTTATTGATATATATTTTTAAATTATTTCAAATTAGTATAATCTGCTTTCCCATTTATAATTACATGTATAAGTATTCCCAATTATAATAATCTGTTTTCCAATTTATAAATATCTGTATTCCCAAATACAAAGTTTACCACAAACCCAGAACCTTGTGTGAAACGTTAGTTTCATCTGTTCACATGTATAATTTGACATATTATATAGCATTCATCTTTTCCGTCTTATGTATACTGAATTTTAATAATGTACGACTTAAAGCTATTGAGTTAAATAGTGTAAGACAGACCCCTGATATCAATGGTGATTTAGTGATATAATTTGATTGACATATACACATGTATAGGTGTATCAATGATAGATTATATGATATATATCTGATTGTCTTTTAGTGATATGTCATACATCTGTGACCACCATAAATGTCTGACCTTCTTTGTAATAAATCACTATACTGTTGATAGATTTTTCTTAAAATCAAAATGCTATTTAAATTATTGAAGGGACTCCACGGGGCTTTTTTACATGATCTGAATGGAAATATTTTTTTCGAGATTAATGTTTCATTTGATGTACGTCTATACCAATAACTCATGTGCAAACTTTCAGAGCATTCGCTCTTTTGATTGTAAAAAAGTGCCCCAACTTTGTGAAGTTTTTCTACGCTTTCTTCTCAATTTGGCTAAGAATCGCACAAAAATACGAGTTCTTATTTATCTCTGAGTATATGTCTTCATTATCTTTTGCATAAATTTCTGTTTGAAATGCCCCAGTTTTTAAATGCAGTAAATTGAAATTTTATGTTTTTAGACTTTTGAACCACAGTCGAGTTCCTTAAAACGTTTTCGAATCCTTTTAGAATTTTCATAATACATGTAATAAACATTTCTCCACTAAACAATCGAGCTGATTTGTTCTGTATATTAAATTTTGAATTTTCCTTAACAATGTTGTTAGCCTACACGCACATACAATATACCTGTGTTATTTGCCTACTAGGTCTACCGCTTGCGATCGTATAATCCTAATAGCAAATGAAAACAAAAACGAAATGCTGTTGCGTAAATATTGTCTTTCCGATTTAAGGAGAACGTTACTCTTTGGTAGTGTTTAACTAGCCGCATTCTTTCATTACAAATACTGAAATATCCCTACATATAAAAATACATTTGTTAGACACATCATTTACATTTAGATCAATTCAAAATGTACGCGATCACCCCCCCCCCCCCAAATATTTTCTGATTATCGATTATCGTTCTCATGGAAAACATACACCAGTCACAATTTGCATAAAATGCTGTCTCATTAGTATCAACTAATATTTCATAATTAGTTTATCTAATTAAAAAAAAGATATTCATTTTGAATGAATAGCAAATTCTTATCTTGACCTCTTCACTGTCTGGCATAATGAAATTATTTCATAAAACAATATTGGCATGCTATTAGTCATTGGTCTACTGATAAGCCTTTTAACTATAATTATCCTGCTAAATATGTTGATTGTTTATGTCCAACATTAACACAACGTATTCCTATATAAATGAAAAAAGCTACAATTTTAGAGCCAACAGACTGCCCTGCCTGAATGGATGTGCATACTACCCTGTCTCCATACTGAAGCTATAACCCTGTTATTGTCGCCGCTAGGATTTAAACTTTTCTTTCTTTGTGGGTTTGTCTACTGTAACAGGGGTCATATATTCATTGATCCCGAAGCTAAACTTGTAGCTGGACGATCTTATGCCATTATTTATGTTAATGTCACAGAACTGCAACGCCATTCATTGTGTTTTTGAGTCACCCCCCTGGGGTCATGTCATAACAATGAGGGGGTCGAGACCTTAGTTCGTTTTTGTATAATGCCATTGTGATTCCTTGCCTTCAGTCAGACTGTCAAAATACAGCTGACTGTGGGAACTAGTTTTTTCTACTTATATCCGTATTAGAATATCAAATGTGTCCTCAATGTATAAAATTACATCAGTCAATGTAGAACATCTTGATACAGATTAAGTGTAAAATTATACCCTAGATGTCAAGGGTATATCAGTGATAAATAATGGAATATCAGTGTTTATTTTGATTAAGATATGATATATACAGGTGAATCATAGATAAACAAATATTGATTGATTGCCTGTAAATATTATAAAAACATCCCGCCTTCAAATGGGGTCTTCTGAAGTCATTCAAATACATATTTTGGTGCGTCATTTTTGAAGTTTACAAGCATAAAAATATTTTGACATCCTTTGATTCTTATTTCAAGCATAACTTTATACTTACAAAATATTTGTCCTTTTCTGAATTTAAAAACAACCTTAACACACGGAATATTAATACGATCATGTTTACATTATGACGAGTGAACAATTTTCACTATCAGATACTTTCTCAAAATTAAAAAAAATCCTCTCATATATGCATGTTAATTATGACGTTAAGAAAACCTCGTTAAAATGTTTGATCTTTAATTTCATTGCATAATTGACACATTATCTGGGTTATTACATGATTTACAAACTCTCAGGGTTAATGAATGAATGAATGAATGAATGAATGAATGAATGAATGAATTTATTTATTTATTTATTTATTTATTTATTTATTTATTTATTCCTAAATCATTCTGTTCTTTAAAATGACGAGTGCACTACCAAAATTACATTTTACACCTTTTACAACCAATATTAAGGCGTGTTAATATGGTTGTTAACTTTTCAAAAAGCGCGGGAAAAGATTAAAATACGCGCAAATTGTACTGAATCAAGTTGGAACCTGAACGTTATAGCTACGTCTATCCCATAAAGAGCTGGTACAGTTAAATCGACGTGGTTATCAATAAAGTATGATAAGGGTTTTACATTAACGGACCAATATAACTTGTCAATATCATACCTTTACATTTTAACATTGCAGTGCTAAATTTATATCGAACGCTTAGAGATACCTTTAACAGTATTATTTATGGAAGTATTCGCGCATCTTGTGCTAAGTGTTGTGAAGTTTAAAAGGCGTTTGGTAATTTAATGAGATCAGTAAAGTGTGAAGAACAGTACAGTAAATGAAACTGTTGGGAATTCTAATGTGAAATATTAATACAGCGGGTATATAAGTATGTAGAATTCTACATTATGTGTAATGAAACAGATAAATAAAACATTAACATTTTCGTTCAATAAAATATTTCATATTAAGTGTGAGTAGAAAAGTGAAACAGTCTCGTTAATATTTGTGAAACTGTATGGATTATATGATGTCCTTTTTTCCAGATAACATTCTCTTAATGTTATTCTGTGCTTGGCCGATAAATTGAAGTTTGGAATGTAAATAAAAATCGATCTGATTATTAAGTCTACCGCCGTTAATGTTTACAATCCAAGGTCTTGTTGACAAAGGAGAGAAATAGAATCTTATATCGACTGGTGGAGAAACGTTAAATCTCGTAAAGAAGGATATTTAAACATTTTGAAACATTTACATTGGACTAGTGGTTTGAAGGACACAATTTGTATGCCATTTTTAGAAAAAGAAAAAGTTAATGAGATTATTTTTCAAAAGTTTTGAAATGTGAAAAGAGAATTGGAATTATAATGTGATCAGTAAAAAGAAAAACTAACAAAGTCGAAATAGTTTATGTATGAACTATCGCGTATAGGACATAATTTTAGTTTAGGAGAGGGTATACGATAAAAATATATAAAAAATGAATTTTTCAAAATTTCGACAGACCGGGGAGTTGTCAGATATAACGGTCGTTGTCGACAACACAGAGTTTAAACTACATAAATTTCCGCTATATGCCAAGTCAGACTTCTTCTGTGCTTTGGCTAAAAGTCCGGGAACAGACTGTAACAGGGTGGAATTAAAGGAGTTTCCCGGAGGACCGGAAGCTTTTGGTGTCGTTGCTGACTTTTGTTACAATATGAAAGTGGATTTAACAAAGACAAATGTCGTACATATTAGATGTGCCTCAGAAGTTCTACAAATGACTGGCTCTGGGAACTTGGCTGAAGTCTCGGAAAAGTTTTTACAAGATACAATTACTTCTGCTAAAATGAGTAGATCTACGTCTGCTATTGTGTCATTGTTACTTTCCTGTATAACGGCGTCTGCTGTTGCGGAAAAAGCGGAAATCGTTTCACAATGTAGCGACGCTCTTGTTGATTGTTGGCTGAAACCACCTACTAAGTTCAGTAGCCCTACTTTCTCAAAGAAAGGATCTGACCGTGGTGATGAAAGCATAAGACTTTTATTAGGATTGCCAGTTGCTTGGCTAGTAAAACTATTAGTTCTTGCACGAAATAAAGGTGTCAAACACAACGTGATGGCAGAGGTTGTCACGAAATACGTCATGGCTTTCATCGATAAAAATGACGCTGAAGAAAAAGGGGTCGACCAAAAGAAGGCTGATACAGTCGACTCAAAGCCAGGCCTTAAAGGATCAAGATCCTCTCACCACGATCACGATGTGAAAGAAAGTAAAGCTGGGATAAAGTCGAAGAAAAAGTCTGATACGGGGAAAGTTTTCGATGCCATTTTGTGTGAGTTACCAGAAGAGGCGTTTAGTGAGGAGTGTGTAACAACAGACTGGGTTACAAAAGCTTTGAAATTTGCAACCTTACATGGATGCAAATGTAGAAGAACTCTTGTTAGAGTTGCAGGTGATCGTTTAAATAGTCTGTCAGCAGACGATCTCTGTATTATATCACCATCTGTTTTGAAAGACATTGTGTCAGAATCGTGTAATGGCGATGCCAACCAGGGACAAAAAGCTTGCCAATTAGTCGAAAATTACATGAATGAAATGGCGCGAAAAGGTGTGCTTACAGCAGAGACATACAAGACACTTGTGACTTCCGGTCCACCTGATTGTAGAAAGTCACATGATTCGCTGTATGGTATACTTGAATACGTTCTAACAGCTGGTAAGTTCCATATAAGTAATATATGCAAAATCTTAATATTGAATATTTGAATACGCTTGATTAACTATATAAAAATTTCAATCCTGCAAATATCTAGTAATAAAACACTAACTTTATAGTAAATTGGTCTGTATCCGGTAAAACATACAGTCATTAAGTGTTAGAATCAGTTTACGATGACTTTTCTTTTCATTGTAGGAGAATATTTTATCTTAGTATGGGTGAACGGTATGTACGGTATTCAAAACAACTGTTCAATTTCTTTCTTTTACGCTATAAACAATTTGTTAGATTAGTTTTAACTACCGTGGATTACAGAAAAGTATGTGTGAAAGACACTAAAATATTGAATTTGGTTTGGTCTATTCGTGCAGTTTTCTTCAAAAATGAAAAAACTATTTTCAAACTTTACAACACCTCTTTACTTTGATTAATAAATGTTACAATCGTGTGATAATAGTTTTATTTATAACTCAAAAATGTTAATTCTATATCTCCCTAATATCCTATTATATCTTTGGTTTTATTTTCTCAAAATGTATCTTTTTCCTCCTTTTGTGACATTAAGCCCAGTGTAAAAGCACTGGGCAATACATGTATTTTTTAATCTTTTCGAAGAGGTTTACCTAATCTTGACTTATTAATAACAAAATTATATTATATGTACTAATATTACATGTATACTGTTTTAATCCATGAATTATTTGTAAGCTTTTAATTCCCTTCATTCATAAGATTTAATTTCTTTCCCACGGAAAATACTATCATTAACGCTTTAAATATAATACTGACAAATATAATTTAGCAGAAATAATAATGTATTTTTTAGAAAAGAATATGATTTTTGTTTTGTATATTTTATAAAAATATAAGTCTTCAATAATAACAGACCAAATTAAGCATGTATAAATATGAATATTTCAATCTGTCAATTAAGCAACAGTTAAAGGTGTTTGTAAAGTTAATTATCAGAGTTCACAATTAGATTGCTAATAGTATTACTGCATGTATGCGTGCCGCGGATTTTATCCTATAAAATTTGTCAACAATAAAACAAGTCTTAGTTAAACTTGATTAAAGTAGGTGATTTAAAAAAAAAGGCATTACTGTTATTGAACAATTTAAACGAGTAAAAAGCGGAAGGAGATGTAGTAAAAAGTAAAATCGCCAGAAAGGATCAAAATGCAATGCGTACACGTATACATATTTTAGTTAGAAGCTATTAAAGCCAGCATTGCACAATAACATTAGATTAACATATTCATACCACGTACATTGTTGATGTTGTTTTTTCATTTAGAATTCATGAAATGTCATATTTAAAATACTGTACGTAAAAAAAGAATGGAGCTTCATAATCATAAATACAAAACTAAGATAAAAGGCAAATATCCTGGAACGGTCACAAAATGTAGGCTAATTGAATCTTAATGACATTACACTATTGCGTGTTGACTTGATATATAACATTTATTTTACTAAGGTGACACATTAATCGACTTTGAGAAAAGTCATAGACATGAAAAAAAAATCATTCTTTTTTATTATTCCTATTGGCATTCATATAAGCTCACACGAATTTACAGTTTCGGATCCCCTTCAACATACTTGAAAGTCTCAAATACTGATGAGCCGCGTCACGACAAAACCAACATAATGGGTTTGCGACTAGCATTGATCCAGACCAGCCTGCGCATCCGCACAGTCTGATCAGGATCCATGCTGTTCGCTTTCAAACCCTATTACAAGTAGAGAAATTGATAGCGAACAGCATGGATCCTGATCAGACTGCGCGGATGCGCAGGCTGGTCTGGATCCATGCTGGTCGCAAACGCATTATGTTGGTTTTGTCGTGACACGGCTCATATATACTATACGTAAACAGCTGAATTTGCCGACAAGGGACCGAACATTTTCGACGATCATGATAAATGTACGACCTTAATTACTTCTACAAATAAAAGCCAAGTCACATTCCGCCGACAGCAAGATATGATCTCTTTTATGAAAACACAATAAAACAATAAAATTTGTCGATATCAGCATTAAACCATTTTTATCTTATATCTTGGACGTCTTTCAACGGGATTATTAAATCAAATTCCACACTTGTAACAGACAGGGCCAATAATACATGAATGACATCTGAATAGTGGAATTTGAGACTATGCTACAATATACATAGAACTGTAACAAAAGTTATAACAAAAGTTATTATAATTTTGCTTAAAATCGTGTATAAAGTCCGGATCATAATGAGTTAGCTATTTTATATACAGGTCATTATGATTATAATTATGAACATTTTTAATAGTTTCTGTATCTAATTTTATACTAATAAGACCTATATACCATGGTATACATGTGTATACATCATAACTTTAAGCATGCCAGTCGTTATTTATAGTTTATCATCATTTTAAGTATTTACTGATGCAACTTTTAGGTGCATCTGTATTTGTTTTATTAATGGGCATCTGACAAACAAGTTTTTTTAAATGCTATTTTCAAGCATGCGTAAAACAGATAGATGCTCAACGATAAGTAACTGAGACAAAACTAAAGTATGTTTCTTTTTTTTGCCAGTTGTTTTTTATGATGGTGTTTATGATGATGTTTATGCTAGTATAATTATAATGGTGTTTATGATGATGTTTATGCTAGTATAATTATAATGGTGTTTATGATGGTAATTTTCTTTCCTTACAGAAAAAGATAAACTGAATGAGGATCAACGTACTGAGTTAATGGAGACAGTGAACTTTAACCTCCTGGGAGAAGCCACATTGAAGCGTGCGTTCGATACCCAGGTTGTCCCTGCCACCTTCGTTGCTAAGGGAGCTCTTGCATTATGTGCTAAGTTGAAGACAGAGCTGGAATCTGCCAAGAATACTGTTTGCAGGCAGGAAGATGAACTTCAGCGCTTGCGCAGAACAAAAACTGTAACGCCACAAATGACGTCATCATCATCTCCAAAGAAAGAAGTTGACTCAAGTCATTCTAGTAAGTCGACTCAAGCCATTCTAGTATGTGAAATTCTATCATTTCTCCTTTTTCTTTTCGTATCGACAAATTGCTTTGATAATCATGATACGTGTGCACTTGTAAATAGTTTGTGCGGTTTGAAGTACAGCAAAGTTATGGCACGTATAAAATATTAAGGTAATACATATACTTCATATACTTATTTAATTTTCTATTTAAGGTTTTACAGAATTGCCAGTTCGAGACACTGCCATGAACGGAAATAGCTTAAATACAGACCTGCCAACAGATCTGCTAAGCTCTCATAGCCCTACGCCACCAACGACAGAAGATGTGCTTCTAGCTGCCCGGAACAAACTTGCAACATCCGTCGCTGCGTACAACACATTTCGACCTCTGTCCGCCGACCGTGACAGCGATTATTCCTACGAAGAAGACATGGACTATAAGTATGACAGACATATTCGTTCCTATGACAACGCAAGAAATAAAGCAGGGCGTGGCTCCAGTTTCCGGTCTTCGTATTTGTCCTCCTATCCTCACAGGATATAGAAATATATATAATAATGTACTTACTTTTAGAAAAAAAGAAGCTTAAACGGTTATAGATTTCATTTCATGAGTAAAAAAAAACTGCAGTCTGATCTTAAAATTAGTATAAAAAACAATACTACATCAGTTAAATATTAGAACATATATTGTTACATGTAGTACGTTAAGTTGACAAACTGATTTAATTAAACATATTATCAGTAATACAATATCATGATTTTCATCAAAATTAAATGCACATGTATCGGCATTAAATCATTTAATTTTACCAGTAAAAGTGAATTGCTTAATACAGATGATGGGTATAGTTTATTGTTTAGCCAAGAACTTTCTTACTACTAACTTGTAATCCATAAAAAGCGATCTAGTTTGGTACACTAAACTTTGGATAAGTAATTATTGATAATAGCCGAGCTGTCCCGATTTTATGTTTCATTATTGCACATCTCTTTATGATTTTAGGCTTATTTCTTCGATCCTCTTTGTTTCCTTTACTGATATAGTCAAGTCGTTACTGTTACGCTCACGAATGGCGACATTATAATTGAAACTTTTATAAAAAGACCTGAAATTAATCGCCTTTATTTGATCTCCAGTTGTTAAGATAGATTATAGTCCTGTATGAATTCATGTTATTTCATTAGACTAATATTATTTAAAATACAACCACATTTTCTATATTTAACGATTATTTTATCGTAACATTAGGAAATAACTGTTAAGTTTATGACATTATAATTCTGTGCCCTATAAATTTCGTCATGTATTGATTGACAGACACATCAAGTGAAAATAAACCAAGTTTGATTATAAACCTGCGATATTTATTTAAAATGTTGTGATTTATTGGTATACACAGAAACACCGTTTGTATTTGTGCCCCTTGTAGGTATGGTTGATTGTTATATTATTTAAAGTCGGTTACGTTACGCTTGCTACCAGGGAAGTAACCGCTGCAGGAGTTAATACATTTTAGCTAAATACTATCAATTATCTACACATGTGAAAAAAAACCCGAAACATTTGCTTGATTATTGATCAAATAAAATCATATTATATACAATGTATATATACGGAACGAAATATTGATAAACCTACATTATCAAATTTTTTGGACATTTTAAAGTTTGTTACTAAGTTGTAGTTATTAGTTATGCATTTATAAATTAAATAAACAAAATAAACCAAAGTTAAACATTTTGTGCGCTTTTTGTTTGTGTTTTTCTTCCATAGTTAATGTCTCACTTTACTTCATTCACGGACTGCACAAAGCACTAAAAACTGCACAGATACACATATTGATCAGGCTCTTTACTGTATCACTGACAGTAAATATACCGACCACCGGCTCTTTAATAGAATGGTACTTCACTTCCATTTTCAACGCAGCGACCAAACTGTAAAGTTTGATAAAATTCATGAAGAAACATAAGAAAGAGGAACGCTGGTAATTTATAAATATAGATAATTTTATTACACTATCAGGTATTCCAGCAACATTCTTAACTTATAGCACCTTGTGAGAAAACATTACAACATTACACCAAACTTCAAGTACACTATTTTAAAGCTTCAAACCTACATCTGTGAACTCCTCAGCAATATTAAATACCAAAATCTGACCTTAAGTTCTTGATTACATTACATTGCATCAAATATAAAACCACAAATAAATAAATATTACTTTTATGCAAAGTGCATGTATATCATTTCAAATAGGGCAAGTACAATGTATGTCCTATATACAAAGTCAAGTTATTAACAATAAAAGCCAGATTATGTTATCAGGATGATCCTTTAACATTTTATTTAAAATGTGCCTCCTTCAGCTTAAACAAGAAAAGTGTTAAAGACATACTGTGCTCAAATTTGATATTAGAAAATAGTGATAAATGCTACACAGTATCTTTTTAAACATGAAATAAAAAACATGTTTTAACTTCACACACAGTATATTTGTCATGTTTAAAATTCTACACACAATAGGTGGTCAAAATATGAATATATAGTGTCCTTAAAAAAACTGGCTGTACACAATTTATTCATTATTTTATTCAAATTAGACATATTCAATAAGAATTTCACAGATTTCAATAAATTTATGTGATTAAAATATTTTACTCAAGGATGAACATAGTATAATCTTTAAAACACATATAATTCAACATTTTTCATTTGGTTATATATACTTCAAAATTACACCATTCAGGTAACATAGAGAGTTGGAGACTATAAACATTTTACTCATGACACATCTTCGACCTCGTGACTTGTCTAATTTAATTAGAGGTGGAAGATGCTTTGTATACTGAACATCATTTCAGACTAGGGGCAAGTCCTTCTGTATGCTAGCTGGATAATTCTTTTGACATGAAAGTAATCAGCTTCCCAATTAGAATTAACTCCAACAGGTGTAAAGGGTAATTATAACATAAATTACCTCACCATTCAGGTCTTTCAAATTAATATATGGCATAATGTAATCAAAAATAAAAAAATGGCCAAAGAATAACTTAAAAGTGATTTTAATTTATTACTATGTTACAAGTCGTTTATCACAGTAAAACATTTGGAATGTGATATGTTTGTTAATATAAATCTCCCAGCAATTCACTTCAAATATTCCTACCATTAGATTCTTAAAAACAAGTGTGAAAGTATTTAGTCAAAATGGGACGGGAACAAAAATATGGCACCATCAGGATGTCAATACAGTTTGATACATTCTATCTCACAACAGAATTGGACTGTATTTTATATCAGTTTAAATATGATTTACCAAGTTTTAACCTATATTGAGTTGCATTCTACATCAACAAGGTAAATTCTGCTATTCGTTTCACTCCTGATCAAAAGGTATGACCTACGCCTTTTGACAAATATTACTATAAAGATGCACACTTTCTGAGCATCTATATTTTTACCTTTTAATAGTCATCTTTTATCAAAGGTGTTGCTGTTGGCAGATTTTACACTTAATATCATGCGATGTTTTAATATTGCATTTTTAATGTGAAATGTATTTGCATATAATATATTATATGTGTATGTATTTTATATATACTCATATATATGCTTGTAATATAACAGACTAGAGTATGTAAAATACCTTAAGTCTCTTGTAATTCTACTCAAAGAATGGCTATGTACAAAGTAATTTTTATCACTTATGCTGAAATGTATGTAATTGTGCATAGATAAGACTATAAATAATAAATAATGATCTATATTTAAAGTTTTAAAACTTTGGCACAATTCATATATATCCTTATTAAACAATCACTGTTGGTTTGTTTGTTTATCACAAACATCTTGTCTTATCAATAATTGGTTACTTTAAGAGACAGATTCATACAAAGTTTGACAGAATACACATATGAATTTAGAATAATAAACAGTTACTAACATAAACATTATTAATACTCCCGATTGCTCTAACAACTGCCTCAGCTTCATGAAACATTGCAAAATATATAAGACAAAACTGAAATAAAACAGTTTTAACTAGAGTATATGACTAGATATCGTATCATATGGAATGAGATAATTAAATTATACTGCACAATCCAAGGCACACTTTGGATTACGTAATTTTACCGTTATGAATGAAGTTGTAATGTCAAACACTGTTGTAAATAAACAGTTACTGGTGTAATGATATAACTTTCCATGACAAATTGTTTTATAAAGGTAAAGAGTTTAAAATCTAATGGAATATGGTAATATACATGTATACAAGAAAAAATATCTCACATATGTTTGCAGTTCGATCAGAATATCCGTCCCTCAGGAACACACCCCTGGGTGGGTCCCCTCCGGATGGATATTCCGATCCGAAACAAAACATATTACATATATCATTAATCTCAAACTTTCTGTATGAACTTTTCCAGTTTCTATTTTTTGTAACTGTCTTATCAATTTTGGGAATATAAATGAAAATTTAAAGTAAGTCACCCGAACGTATAGAGCCTGGTCCGACCTCACAGAAGGGCAAGCTGGCCTGGCTCAATACTGGTGGTAAAGATTATATATTTCCAGTTCCGGCAGGTTAAGGGCTAGCGTGTATATGTAAATAACAGGCTGTCCAGCACCTTCTGACAAAATATTAGGGCAAATTTTAGGGCAATTTTTACAAAAATTTAGGGCTTAAATTAGGAATTTTTGGGTAAAGAAAAGAAATTTTAGGGCTAAAATTTGGAATTTCATAACTAAATTATGGCCTCAAAAGACCATGATATGGTCTCAACTTTGCATATTTGACACAAAAGTAACTCACAAATAATGCTCTAGTTCGGTTATAGCAAAGTTGTTACCAGTGTTCCATAGTCACCAGTGAAGAAATGGTTTCACTGGTCAACTGCCTTTAAAAAGAGCTGAAAAACTACATTAAAACATAACTAGAATGAAAACATTTTTAAACTTAAAAGTATCCCGGAACAACCAATATTCAATTAGTTCAATTAGCTATGATTAGCCAATAATAAATGGAAGGGGAAATTATACTTTAGATTTCTTTTAGCTACAAATGCATTTATTATCAACATTTATTCATTTTAAGGTTGGTACATTTTCAACAAGTCTTGATCTTTCTTAACAATTTGACCCACTCAAGTCATTCCCAGGAATATTAAAACTTAAATTCAAACAGCAGGGTATACACCTCTGAAGAATTTGTTCAAGATAAATCAGGCTACTAAAAATTGTAGAAATTTCACCACAGTGTCAGTTTTTTCAATGATTTTCAACAGTTTTTTTCCAGATTTTAAAAAACTTACACTATATGTTATAACATATGTTCAGTACATGTTAATGTGTACAAAAAGGGCAGCTGAAGGTGTCACTTCTTAGTACCCTAATTGGGTAGCAAAATGGTTAAAGCATCCAATCATTACTGCCAGTTTACCTTACCCACTTTATAATTAGCAATGGAAACTTGTCTAGATCTGCCAGCTGGTATCACTTACAAAAGATCTGTTCTACAGTCATCACTTGAAAATAACTTGATTTAAAATTAAGATTTTATTAATAAGGACCCCTACATAAAGTTTGCTGAAATTTAGTGGTTCATCATGTAAATAGTTGCTTTAAATACACCTACGACTGAGGTAAATGGTAAAACTCTGTAGCCAATAAAAATGTAACTTCCTCCGAAATATATTTATCACAATTTTAAACAGGTGACTACTTTGATATAGCCAAAGTAGGACAATTTTCATTGTTCAATTTAAAACAAACAGTTTTTTATTATTTTTCTGATAACATCTGGTAATTAATCAATTATGGCATTTCTGCAGGAGTTGAAGTAAATACAACATGTGACTTTATGCAATTTAGTCAGACATGACTTCAGCTCCACTGTCACTGTGTTCGAATTTAAGTTGTGATTGAAACATGGTTGTTTCGCGATATGTTTATATCAAAAGATAAAAAGAATAGGAATTTAAGTGAAAAAATAGGGCTTTTTTAGGAATTCCCTTTGAATTTTTCATTTTTTTAGGAATTTTAGCCAAACTGAAAAAAATTAGGATTTTTTAGGAATTTTAGGGACGCTGGACAGCCTGAAATAAATGTATATACATTTTCCAATCAAAACCAGAAAAAGATACTAACATCATTAGAAAAAATGACCAATAAAATTACTATAAAATTACATTAAAAATCTATAACAGAAATCTATATATGAATGTATAATAATATGCTACTATGAGACTATAAAGTCAACTAGTATCAAGATTCTGATATCATGATGTAGTCAAAGTCAGCATGTCCGAAACCCGCTGTACCAAATGCTGGAAACCCACTGGCTGGACTATCTGGCATCCTCACACCAAACACCAACTGATCATTAACATAGCCCTCAGCAAAACCATCCTGTAATAGTCAAGTAAAGTCAAATATTTTATTGGCCAAAAAAAAATAATGTTCATAGCCAATTTACCGTGGCGGATATAAAGTAATTACATTACATAAGTATGGTAACTACTACAGAAAATATCAAAATTTCAATATGAGTCAGAATGTAATAATATAGAAACAAATACCTACGTAGATATAAAATTAACCATTTGAGCTTCTCTTATACATAGCACAATAAAAATATACTATACAGTTGTATAAAATGATGTTGTTTTATTTGTTTTTTTAGAAAATTCTAATATAACGTGAACAACATTTAATCATTTAAAGGCCATTATGTTGAAAATACTTTATAACACAAAGCTAAAATTGACTAAAGTTTTCTACCCATCTTACTTGAATAACAGATAAAACATAATTATTATATACAAAATAAAAAAAACAACAACATATTTTTGACATACACATATATCTCACTTCATATTGTACATTTTACAGATAGATTAAAAAGAAAATGTGATGCTTGAAGAATAAAGTGCATGTATGAAAGTTTTAACTACCATATGAAGTCTGACATTTCAATCCCAGTGAGAAGGAATGTGAAAACTGAAATCTGAATATTAAAGTGTAGAGTTGATTTACATAATTTATTACGCAATTTTTCTTAATCAAACACTTTACACTCAGCCTTTCAAATTAGACTTTATCATCACTATTCAAACTCTAAGCTTCACAAACTGGAAGTTACAGTAGACTTTCTTATTAATAATTTAGTGTCTGATAAACTTACCTTCACTTTAAGTCCTAGTTTGTTGTAACCAGTAGGTTTTAAGCTTGGTGCAGGGCCATAACCTAAGAGAGTAGCTCTCCCTACAAAATGAAAAAATATAACATCTTTATGACTTCTGAAAATCAATCATGCTTTGATTGGAGACCTATATTAAGAAATGCTGGACTTATGTGAAATACACATAAAAAGAATATACAAAAGGGCCATAATGGCCCTGAAGTCGCTCACCTGTATATAGGCCCCAAGAGCGGGGCCAGTTTAAACCCCAGGGCTTTTATTTGAACAAACTTGGTAGACACCCATTAGAAGATGTTTCATGCTAAACATCTAAGGTCTAGCTTGTTGAGTTTTTTAAAAGAAGATCTTTTAAGTTTTTACTATACACATATAGTTAAAAGCAATGACACCCCTGGGGCGGGGCCAGTTTTGACCACAAGGCTTTTATTTGAACAAACTTTGTAGACACTCACTAGAAAATGTTTCATGCTTAATATCTAAACTCTAGCTATTTGGGTTTTCTCAAACAAGATTTTGCAAGTTTTTGCTATACACATATAAGAAAAATCAATGACCCCCGGGGCGGGGCCAGTTTTGACCACAGGGCTTTTATTTGAACAAACTTTGTAGACACTCACTAGAAGATATTTCATACTTAATATCTAAACTCTAGCTATTTGGGCTTTTTCAAAGAAGATTTTTTTAAGTTTTTGCTATATACACATAAATAAAATCAATGACCCCGGGGCGGAGCCAATTTTGACCCCAGGGCTTTTATTTGAACAAACTTTGCAGACACTCACTAGAATATATTTCGTACTTAATATCTAAACTCTAGCTATTTGGGTTTTTTTAAAGAAGATTTTTTAAGTTTTTGCTATACACATAAATAAAATCAATGACCCCAGGGGCGGAGCCAATTTTGACCCCAGGGCTTTTATTTGAACAAATTTTGTAGAAGCTCACTAGAAGATGTTTCATGCTTAGTATCTAAACTCTAGCTATTTGGGTTTTTTCAAAGCAGATTTTATAAGTTTTGCTTTACACATATAAGGAAAATCAATGACCCCCAGGACAGGGCCAATTTTGACCCCAGGGCTCTTATTTGAACAAATTTGGTAGACACCCATTAGAACATGTTTCATGCTAAATATCTTAGCTCTAGCTCCTTGGGTTCTTTAAAAGAAGATTTTTTAAGTTTTTACTATATGCATATAGGGAAAATCAATGACCCCCTGGGGCAGGGCCAACTTTGACCCCAGGGCTTTTATTTGAACAAATTTGGTAGACACCCAATAGAAGATGTTTCATGCTAAATATCTTAGCTCTAGCTCTTTGGGTTCTTCAAAAGAAGATTATAAGTTTTTATTATATGCATTTAGGGAAAATCAATGACCCCCGGGGCGGGGCCAATTTTGACCCCAGGGCTTTTATTTGAACAAACTTGATAGACACTCACTAGAAGATGTTTCATGCCAAATATCTAAGCTCTACCTCTTTGGGTTTTTTAAAAGAAGATATTTAAGTTTTTTCTATCGGTTGCCATGGCAACCAGAGTTCTGCATGGAATCAAATTCTTTGAACAATTTTTAAAGGTGACCACCAAAGGAACATTCCTGTGAAGTTTGAATGAAATTGGCTTAGTGGTTTATGAGGAGATGTCATTTAAAGTAAAAGTTTACAGACGGACAGAAGATGGATGGACGGACGCCGGACGAAAAGCGATCAATAAAGCTCACCCAGTCACTTTGTGACAGGTAAGCTAAACAAGAGGGCCATGATGGCCCTGAGGTCGCTCACCTGTATATAGGCCCCCCCACCCCCGGGCCAATTTTTACCCAAGGGCTTTTATTTGTTTATTTGAACAGACTTGGTAGACACCCATAAGAAGATGTTTCATGCTAAACATCTAAGTTCTAGCTCATTGGCTTTTTTAAAAGAAGATTTTTAATGTTTTTACTATACACATATAGTTAAAAGCAATGACACCCCTGGGGCAGGGCCAGTTTTGACCCCCGGGGGTTTATTTTAACAAACTTTGTAGATATTTACTTAAAGATGTTTCATGCTTAATATCTAAACTCTAGCTATTTGAGTTTTTCCAAAGAAGATTTTTAAGTTTTTGCTATACACATATAAGGAAAATCAATCACCCCCCCCCCCCCGGGCGGGGCCAGTTTGGACCCCAGGGCTTTTATTTGAACAAACTTGGTAGACACTCATTAGAAGATGTTTCATGCTAAATATCTTAGCTCTAGCTCTTTGGGTCCTTTAAAAGAAGATTTTTTAAATTTTTACTACATGTACTATATGCATATAGGGAAAATCTATGACGCCCTGGGGCGGGGTCAATTTTGACCCCAGGGCGGTTATTTGAACAAACTTGGTAGACATTCACTAGAAGATGTTTTATGCCAAATATCTAAGCTCTAGCTCTTATGGTTCTTTAAAAGAAGTTTTTTAAGTTTTTACTATACGCATATAGGGAAAATCAATGACCCCAGGGGCGGGGCCAATTTTGACCCCAGGGCTTTTATTTGAACAAACTTGGTAGACATTCACTAGAACATGTTTCATGCCAAATATCTAAGCTCTAGCTCTTACGGTTCTTTAAAAGAAGATTTTTTAAGTTTTTACTATATGCATATAGAGAAAATCAATGACCCCCAGGGGCCGGGCCAATTTTGACCCCAGGGCTTTTATTTGATCAAACTTGGTAGACACCCATTAGAACATGTTTCATGCTAATTATCTTAGCTCTAGCTCTTTGGGTTCTTTAAAAGAAGATTTTTTAAGTTTTTACTATATGCATATAGGGAAAATCAATGACCCCCCCCCCCCCGGGCGGGGCCAATTTTGACCCCAGGGCTTTTATTTGAACAAACTTGGTAGACACTCACTAGAAGATGTTTCATGCCAAATATCTAAGCTCTAGCTCTTATGGTTTTTTAAAAGAAGATATTTAAAGTTTTTTCTTTTGGTTGCCATGGCAACCAGAGTTCTGCATGGAATTAAATTCTTTGAACAATTTTTAAAGGTGACCACCAAAGGAACATTCCTGTGAAGTTTGGATGAAATTGGCTCAGTGGTTTATGAGGAGATGTCATTTAAAGCAAAAGTTTACGGACGGACGACGGACGAAAAGCGATCACAAAAGCTCACCCTGTCACTTTGTGACAGGTGAGCTAAAAAGTATTCAAATTTACATGTTTTGTCTGTTTTACAGTGTATAAAAAGATAATGTACATTTGGCTGTGATATGCTAGCCACCTAAATCTTATATAAATCCATTATCATTGTTGATAGTACTTAATTAAGAAAAATAGTATGCAACATTAACATTATCCATGTGGTTACTAAAGGTGTCTCCTTTCAACCTAGCAGTCATAAGTTTGAGCCCTGCTTGTGTCATGATGTGCATTTCCCCATTACAACACCCATACTGGTTTCTTCCTAGGAGTAATCTTGAAAGAGACTGATATAAGTTGCATCAACTGGTTTCACAGCTAAGCTCTAAACTATGGCATAAAAAGCAAAGTGTCATGACTTACTGGAATCTCCCCAGAATTCATAGGTGGCATTCTTAGGGAAGACATAGAAGAGAAAGCCTTGCCCACCAACAGTATAACAACCACCACTGTTGATTCTCTGTGCTACAAATACACCAGTAGTGGCATTTTCCATATCAATAGAGAATGATGTCTCCACATAGATATTGGTCCTGAAAAAAACATAAAATAAGGAAACTGAATAAATCAAGGTCCAGTGTTAAGAATCTTACATGGTTGTAGGACAACATGCATGTTTCAGGCATTCTAGCATATTTTATGAAGGAAACTGAAAAATCAATAGTTGTTTACTTACCACACACCTGTTACATTTCATTTATTACATGTCGTTTCTTCTAATGAAAGTTAATCCTAGATAACAAAATTTAGCCTAACATGATATATTGGAAATTAAAGACTAACTAACCATGATTTATTGGCAACTGAAATAGGTCAACTTACCATGATGTATTTTTGCCAATTAATGACCAAATTATCATCATATATTGCCAATGAAAGACCAACTTACCATGATGTATTGGTAATTAAAAACCAACTTACCATTAAAAGACCAACTTACCATCACATATTTGCAATTAATGACCAACTTACCATGACACATTGCTAATGAAAGACCAATCTACCATCACATATTTGCAGTTAAAGACTAAGTTTTTGAAATTAAAGACAAATTTTCCATGATAAATTGGCAATTAAAGACCAACTTATCATGATTTACTTTCAGTATGAATCCACCTTTCCATGATATATTGGTAATTAAAGACCAACTTACCATCATATGTTGAGAATTAAAGAGCAACTTATCATGATGCATAGATTATTAAAGACCAACTTACCACATTATATTGCTAAGTAAAGACCAACTTATCATGATGTATAGATAATTAAAGACTAACTTACCACCATGAATTGCCAAGTAAAGACCAACCTATCATGATATATAGGTAATTACATAATTATCTACTTACCATGATATATTTCCAATAAGAGCCAATGTGAAGTTTTCAGTCTCACACCAGTCAACTGGATTTAATATTGCCATCTGACGTAGTACTTTGTTGTTGGTACCGGGTACTGTAATCACTTCAAATGAACCAGACATAGGAGCAACAAAATAAGGCTCTTGGTGTTCAACAACAGCTGTAAAATATCCATTCATCAAAGATGTATTTCATATTCAATCTAATCTTATATCATATATAAATTTAACAACAAGAAACAAATTGGCAACATTTAGACTATATTATTTTACTTTTGATCAACAGGTATGGCTTAAAGTGATAAAATGCTCCATTTTTTCAGTGTATAGCTGAGATAAATTAGCAGTGTTGCATCTAGAATTTCAAAATTATGGGGGATTGTCCCCCACTCAATCGAAAAATGTGGGGGATTTGAAAAAAATTTGGGGGACATACATTTACCTTACAATATGACATACCGAATAGAATTCATTTATTTTACATTCAGGCATTTTTGACAGCTATCATCCGCTCAAAAACGGAAGTAGAAAAAATAAAATATTGACGAATACTACAAAACACACCCGAGATGACTTAGTCGGCTGCTACACGCGATTTAGTACGTATTTTATTCATAACCACGAGTGAAAACAAACATGGCTGAAGCGTTTAAGATACAATGAAGATAAACTGAATTAAGTTGAAAAGATAGTTAGATGTGCGACTTGGCGCAAATCGGGCAATCGCGCGGCCTAGATGCAACACTGAATTAGTTGTGTATTTCAAATAATTGACATTTATAATGGCAATTGAACAATAATTGATAATCACAAATGTTAAGGATGAAATGTAAAAAACGAATTAAATATAAAAAGATTCACTTCTTTTTTTAAATTGAACATTACCAATATTATGTGAAGGATACTTATAGATATTTTTACACATCACAGGTTTCTTGATAACTTGGGTGAATTAAAACCATATGACAAAATGTAAGGTTATATTAATTTTACCTCAGCACTAATTATTTACTTTTAAATGAGCATAATGTCAATTTAAATTTGACACTATCAGAGATACAACTTTTTAACAAAGTTAGCAATATTGCAAGTATTATGAATGACAGATATATTATCTACTGTCAGTATTGGAAAAACCACACAGGGAGCTTCAAACCAAAAGGTTCATCATTAGTGTTACTATATTCTGATAAATCCATCTAAGTCATGAAAACAGTCACATCTAACTTATTTTTAGTACAATACCATGCACAATACTCTATAGAATTTGCTAGGTCATTTCATACCATTAAAATTGTCCATATATGGTAAAGGGAAATCAGTAGGTACGGGAGGATCTGGGTACTCTCCCTTGGCAGCTGTATTAACAGTACTCAATGTAAATATCTGGTTTAAACCAGCTTCAAGTGTGAACATTCCCTCCTCATCTGCCTACACAATACACAAACAAAAAACTGAATATAACTAAATGTATTAACAAAATGTGTCTATCAAAGCATAATAAATGTTTGTTTATTTATTTCAATATAATGTTGTTTTTATTGCTTCTAGGGAATCACCACTTTTCAACAGCTTTTACAATTGATTTTCAACAAATATAAACTCTTTAACTACAACAGTTAACCTATCCCCTTAAAAAAAAATTTTGTGCCCAAAAGACAATTTCTATACACCAATCTATTCAATACATGATGGAAAGCACATTTTCTAAAAATATGTTCTGTGGTACAAAACAGGCTCAGCCAAAAAGTGAAAAACATACATCAGGTCTGGGACTTTAGAGATCCATGCATCTGCTGATATATTATATACTGTAAAATCATTATCATTCGTGGGGCACAAATTTTCGTGGTTTTCGTGGGTAGGTCAATCCACGAATTTAAGATCCGACGAAATTTTATCCCAACAAATACTTTTTACCCTGTTTCTGTCCTATATATTACAAACATGCGTCGGCTCTTTTCTGGTCGATTTTCGTGAAATAAATGTATATACATACTTACATGTCCAGATAATCAGGTAGTGACAGATTAAATCCGTTTGCAATATTTAAGAAACTTGATAAAAAACTCGATTATAATTATGTCCTCAATTTAATGTCACAAATGTCGGTCACATATACACACTTGATCGTTGTTAGAATACTTGACATAATCGAGTAAATATGGGAACCCAGGCAATCCAATTAATTGGCGCTTATAAAACATGTCAGTTTGCTCTTCTTAATTAAAAAAAAGTCTTTGATATTAATGTCTTAAGTACACAAAACGATAAAAAAATACAATCGCTAAAACAGATGAATTGCACTTTCTTTTGTCGTTTTTAAATGATCCAGTTTTACTAGATCCACACATATTTGTGTTATTTACTCAGATTAATTTATATGCATGTAAATCTACACAGTCTCTATGACATTGCGTGTAGTTACTGACAAATATGGTAAGACCAATTCAGGGTGTAAACTTTTTAAACTTGCTGGTTAAAACGTGTTAGGTGTCGTATAAATTATGCGATGTTTACATCGGCGAATTAAAGGGGCAGTGTGTGTAATGGAGGTGCATATCATGTCACATAAATGTGTTAATTGCAGCCAATTATCGGCAGTAACTGTGCTATATTAGAGTTATGCCCAGAGGCAAGGATTAAATTTATTGACAAGCGCTGTGTGACACATAAAGATATGTACATGTTGTAAGTAAAAATGTTCGGCGATTAAGTTAAAGATTACTATGCATTAGGTTACTTAATTTTTTACAAGAAAATGAAAATCCACGAATTTAAGAACCCACGAAAATGCCCATTTTGATAAAACCACGAAATTTCATGCCCACGAATATAAGTGAATTCGCAGTAGTGAATATATAGTGTTTCTGTTGTAGAGAAAAGTCAAATAGATGACAAAGATTGTAAGATTGCCATTAGGTACCATTACCGGATTAAATACATAAAATGATGTTCTAATAAACATCTAAATATGGCATCACATTTTCAGTAAAGATTTATTCATATGATTTTAAAACAACAGAATATTATGTGGTCGATATTCGTGTCTATTATACCTGATTACTTACTGTACCTATCTTTATTATTATTATTTATTAATAAATACGCTCAGGTTACTGGCAGGTCCCAGTCAAAGAATCTGATAAGCAAAAGACTGCCTTTAGTGTTGGACCTCTCGGATTCTATGAGTGCAACAGAATGGCTTTTGGTCTTACCAATGCCCCTGCAACGTTTCAGCGTCTGATGGAGCGTTGTATGGGCGAACTTCACCTTCGTGACTGTTTGATTTATCTTGATGACATTATCATCTTTTCTGATTCTATTGATTCTCATTTCCGTCGCCTTCAGTCTGTCTTTCAACGTCTTGAGATGCACAATCTTAAACTTAAAGGGTCCAAGTGTGAATTCTTTAAGCCGCAAGTCCAGTATTTGGGTCACATTGTTAGTGCTAATGGTGTGAAGACAGATCCTGAGAAGATTGAAGCACTCAAGACATATCCTGTACCTACTTGCCTTAAGGAGTTGCGTAGCTTTTTAGGTTTTTCAGGTTATTACAGGAGGTTCATTAAAGACTACGCACAGATCGCCAAACCTTTGAATGACCTTCTTACTGGTATTCCCACCTGCAAAAGTTCTTCTAAGAAATCTAAAGTTCCTTTCAATTGGGGTCCAGATCAGCAGAATGCCTTTTGTTCTTTGATAGATAAACTTTCTTCTCCTCCAGTCTTAGCTTTTGCTGACTACAATAAACCATTCATTCTTAATGTTGATGCCAGTACTAGCGGTTTGGGAGCGGTTCTTTACCAGGTTGGTGCTGATGGTAAGGAGCATGTTATTTCCTATGCCAGTAGGGGTTTGAGAGCAGGAGAAAGACATTATCCTGCTCACAAACTAGAGTTCTTGGCTCTTAAGTGGTCTGTCTGTGATAAGTTCCATGATTATCTCTATGGTAATTCTGTGGAAGTTAGAACAGACAATAACCCACTTACCTATGTGTTTTCATCTGCCAAGCTTGATGCTACCAGTCACAGGTGGTTATCCTCCTTGTCTGCGTATGACATCAACTTGCGGTACAGAGCTGGTAAAGAGAACATCGACGCCGATACCCTTTCTAGAATTCCTTCAGCTTCTTCTCTTCCTGATTCTAACATTCTCCTTTCAGATGCTGTCAAGGCTCTTTTGTTTTCTCAATCTGAAGGTCCAGGTCAACTTCCAGCCGTAGAATGTATTTCTTTTAACCAAACTGTTCTTTCTCTTAATCCCAGAGACGAGATCGAAGTCGGAAGCAGCCTTAAGTCTATTGATTGGAAGAAGGAGCAGCAAGATGATCCAACACTTTCCCGTTTAGTTCATCTCTTTGAAATTGGTCATAGGTTAACTGAACGCCAAAAGTCACATGAAACGCCCAAGGTTCGATCGTTTCTGAAGGAATGGAGCAACCTTTACTTTAAGGATTCAATTCTTTACCGTAAAGGTACTTCAAATGGTTATCCTGTTACTCAGCTTGTTCTCCCTGAACATATGCTTGATTTAGCTTTCCAGGGTTTGCATGATGAGGCAGGACATCAAGGTTGTACAAGAACGATTTCCTTGTTCCGTTCACGTTTCTTTTGGCCTCAGTTAGAGCAGTATATCGAACACAGGGTTCGAAACTGCCCCAGATGTATCCGGAGAAAGTCATTGGATAAAACGACTGCTAAGTTAAATCCTATTCAGTCGAGTTATCCAATGGAAATTGTCTGTATGGATTTTCTTTCTCTGGAGATGTCTCGGGGTGGTTATGAAAACATCTTGATCATTACTGATCACTTCACTCGTTTTGCTCAGGCTATCCCTGCCAAGAACCAAACTGCACATACTACCGCTAAACTTCTCTTTGAAAATTTTGTTTGTCACTATGGTTTTCCTAGTCGGTTCCATAGTGATCAAGGGCGAAATTTTGAAAGTGAAGTTATCCGGGAGTTGTGCAAGTTGGCCAATATTGACAAGACCAGGACTACTCCGTATCATCCACAGGGAAATGGGATGCCTGAGCGCTTTAACGAAACCCTCTTGAATATGTTGGGGACCCTAGAAGATGACAAAAAGGTCAATTGGAAGTCTCATGTTCCCGCTCTTGTCCATGCCTATAACTCTACTCCCCATTCTTCTACTGGTTATTATCCCCACTTCCTCATGTTTGGTCGCCACCCTAGGCTTGCCATCGATGCGTTTCTTGGCATCGAACCAGACAAATCTCCTGTCAAGGACCATTCTTACGTCTCCGGTCTCCAGAACAGACTAAAATTTGCATATTCTGTTGCACTCCGAGAGGCCAAGAAACAAGGCAAGAAGCATAAACGGTATTATGACCTCCGTGTGAGAGAAGCGGAATTGAAGCCCGGGGATCGAGTACTGGTCCGAAATGTAGGTGTTCGGGGAAAATCCAAACTTGCCGATAGATGGGAAAAAGATGTTTACACCATTCTCAGCCAGCCCACCTCTGGAATTCCCATCTATGAGGTGAAGAAGGAAAACAGCAAGGACAGGTCCAGAGTTTTGCACAGGAACCTTTTACTTCCCTTTATGGGGATGCCTTTGTGCAAAACAACTGAGTCCTTATACAAGCCAGCTTCCTCTGACTTACATTCGGATCAGAACTCGTTCTCCAATCCCTCCTCTGATGTTTCCATTACAGCTCCGTTAGATTCCAATACCTCACTTACATCAAGTTCATCAAATATTTCACAAAGCAATTCTGCCACAATACATGATTCTAACAATTGTATGTCAACTTCTTTTACAGGAACATCAAACAGCAAACAAGATGTCACGTCAACAACTCAAACTTCTTATTCTGTTCCAAATAAAACATCTCATTCTATTACAGGTTCTAAATATGTAATTCCTGCACTGAGAAATCTATCTAAGGACAACAACAACAATTTACAGAGGCAGAAACGTACAAGAAAGAAACCCGGATGGATGCTTAATGATAACTGGAAATTAGATTAATGCTTTTCTTTTGATTTATAGTCTAGGTGTGTTTCAACTTTGAAGTTAGGCGTTGTTCAGTACCTGATGTGTTTCGTTTTATGTTTTAAACCATGTACCATATATTTTACCTTGATAATTTATAAATGTACTTTACAGTACTTTAAAAATAAAGGATTTATTGTTGAGAGTGCACCTCTTCAATGAATTCACAGTTCTACTGATAAATTAAAATTTTGTTTCCGCGTGACATATATTTTTCGCGATTCGCGGCATACGGTATTTTTGTGGAACATGCTTGAGTTTAAGGTATTTTGCCCGGGTATTATATATTTACTCACAGGTTGTAATTGCCTTCAGTATTTAGATTTAGTTATGTAGTACCTAGTAGTTTAGTTACTTTATGGTCTAAGCTTACTACTTGCAATGTCTTGATTCAAGCTCTTCCTCTTTAATATTTTATGAATGTCGGGGCGACATTCCCCAAAGTGGGGAAGTATGTCATGTGGTCGATATTCGTGTTTTTGAATATCGTTTTTATGTATCATTTTGTCCTTGTATTTGTATATATATATCTCTTGTATTTGTCTGTTTACAGTCCGCTATACAATCCATTATCCCATATCATTCCTATATCATTCCATTTCATCATCTTATTATAACAACTAATTTCTCATATTTCATTCTGACATAATTTGCATGCCGGGCCTCAGTTTTTACAAACTTCCCGGAAAATCCACCTCACGCATGCGCACTTTGGTATAAATATTTCTCTTGGTTTGCGCCAGAAATTGTTTATCTTGTTTATTTATTTATCAAGGCGTATGTTTTATGTCCTTACAGGTAATTGTTGTTATTCATTATGTTTCATTATCATGCATATTTCCATTGATCGTTTATGTATTTCGGATCTGTATTTATGCACTTTGGTATAAATATTTCTCTTGGTTTGCGCCAGAAATTGTTTATCTTGTTTATTTATTTATCAAGGCGTATGTTTTATGTCCTTACAGGCATAAACGACCATTCATACATTGAAAAAGGACCATACGACATTGAGTAAAGGTTTTTTTTTTAAATAATAGTTACCTCTATGGGCCCCATATAGTCAAAAAGCACTGTGACATTTTTCTGTGCAGCATTTCCTAGCATACTAAACCAGTAGTGTAATTTTGTTATACTTTTCTGTAAAAATAAACAATGGAAACTAGCATCAATACAAAGAGGTAATAAATAGAGAATATTCAAGTTTTTTTCTCTTTAAATACAGGTTTTATTTTCATGGAGTGGTATGAAATATGATAATTTTTCTCAATTTTTCATTTATAAGTATATAATATAACTGTAAATTTAGCAGAATAGAACATATGTTATTGCAAACAACATACACGGTACATAAATCAAGAACATAAGCTGAAATAAAACAAGAGGGCCAAGATGGCCCTGAATCGCTCACCAGAAACAACTGCTTTTCAGTGTTGGAAATTATCCATTGTCAATATTTTCCCAGAGATCTGCCAAGAATTTGAAAGTACTGGGCCCTGGGCCCACTTGGTCTGAAAATGATGGGCCATTTTTACCAAAGTATGGGCCTTGGGAAAATAAGTAAACATTGACCAAAATAACTGTTAAAAAGTTTGTAGATAATTGAATTTCCCCGGTAATAAAACTTAAATCATATTTTATGACAAGTGGTTCACTTATAATTCAGTACTTTACCAATAATTAAAAATTATGCCTACATGGTAACTTTCTAACTAATATTAATTGCAGGCAAAAATGAAAATATTTTTTAAATGGCTGCTCAAAAATTTGATATGCAAATTTATTCACATAATTGCTGTTTCTTACTTGTAATGTCTTATATTGTGCATTATCCATTTAATTGTTCCTACTTTGCACCAAATGTCCCTTACCACTGTATATTGACGAATTTTATTGCCCCTTGTATGCCTCTGTGTAGACAGCATACATCAAAGACATTTGCCGACAGACCTTTTGATCATGAAAAAAGTCATACACAATGTTTCTCTGATTGGTTAATCACCCTGTCAAACATTCTGATGACGAAATATACATCTTTTTTTACACTTCATCAGCCAAAACTTGCGTGAACTTGAGTGACCTTAGGGTACATACAAACATGTATCAGTGCTATACACTGGGCATGTAAAAAGAACCAAGGGATCTAGATTCAATAAGAGCTAGGGACTTGTTCCCGGATTCACTTGTATCTCATAGTCATAGCTGTTTCTCAATTCAATGTATACAATGTATACCTGCTTAGTGTAATCGTTAAATGGTTTTGAAGCAATAGGCCTAATATGTAGATGAGATCAGGGATTGATAATTCAACTTGCCATCATGTATTTAGAAATTGAGTATGCTTATTGTCTTATCGGATGAGTTTGAAATCAGTGAAGCAGAAGACCGCTGGCATTTATCCACTGGTGGCCATGATTCTTTGGCAATCTCCTGGATTAGACCCCTATGCAGAGATCTGCCAAGAATTTGAAAGTACTGGGCCCTGGGCCCACTTGGTCTGAAAATGATGGGCCATTTTTACCAAAGTATGGGCCTTGGGAAAATAAGTAAACATTGACCAAAATAACTGTTAAAAAGTTTGTAGATAATTGAATTTCCCTGGTAATAAAACTTAAATCATATTTTATGACAAGTGGTTCACTTATAATTCAGTACTTTACCAATAATTAAAAATTATGCCTACATGGTTACTTTCTAACTAATATTAATTGCAGGCAAAAATGAAAATATTTTTTAAATGGCTGCTCAAAAATTTGATATGCAAATTTATTCACATAATTTTGCTGTTTCTTACTTGTAATGTCTTATATTGTGCATTATCCATTTAATTGTTCCTACTTTGCACCAAATGTCCCTTACCACTGTATATTGACGAATTTTATTGCCCCTTGTATGCCTCTGTGTAGACAGCATACATCAAAGACATTTGCCGACAGACCTTTTGATCATGAAAAAAGTCATGCACAATGTTTCTCTGATTGGTTAATCACCCTGTCAAACATTCTGATGACAAAATATACATCTTTTTTTACACTTCATCAGCCAAAACTTGCGTGAACTTGAGTGACCTTAGGGTTGATCAAGTTGAACACCTGTCAGATTATACTGTAACTTACAGCATTTCTTAAAATAGCAACACTTTTTTTTTCAGTTACCGATAATCATTTTAAATATTAAGTAGTTGTATAATTTGTTTGTTTGTTTTATTGGATTAAATTTACGGTAGTAGAAATGAGTATCTGTGTTGGAAAGGGATTATGAGAAGAAATGCGGTAAGTAGATAACATGGACAAAAGCTATAGGTGAATGGATAAACTCAAGAATATGTGTAATTACAGGAGCATGGGTAACATGTTGCTGTTGGTACCAGTTTTGACTGGATGACTAAATAACCCAGCAGACAGTTTTGTTTTCTTATAATCTGGCACAGATTTTAGATGCGCCCATGGCCCTTTGCTGCCGATTTTCCTGCGCCATTCTAATTTTTTTAGCGCCAATGGCGCAAAATCGCGTCCTCGGCAGATCTCTGTTTTCCGATATTTATTTTGAGCCAATCAAATTAATATGAGCAAACTTGATAAAAGACTACCTAATAATGCTACAGACAAAGTTTTGCGATCATCTATCAATTATTTCAGTAGGAAATGATGTTCAAAGGTTTTTCTATTTTTGGCTTTAGTGGCCCCTAAAAGGGGCCAATCAAATTAATATGAGCAAACTTGATAAAAGCGCACCTAAGAATGCTGCAGACAAAGTTTGGTGATCATCCATAAATTAGTTCTGTAGATATAGACGTCAAAAGGTATTTCTGTTTTTACCTTTCGTGGCCCCTAAAAGGGGCCAATTAAATTAATATGATCAAACTTGATAAAAGACTACCCAAGAATGCTAAAGACAAAATTTGGTGATCTTTCATCAATTAGTTCTATAGAAGACTTTAAAAGTTTTTTTTTTTATTTTTAGCTCTAGAGACCCCTAAAAGGGGCCAATCAAATTAATATGAGCAAACTTGATAAAAGACTACCCAAGAATGCTAGAGACAAAGTTTGGTGATCATCCATCAATTAGGTCTATAGAAGAAGAGGTTTAAAGATTTTTCTATTTTTAGCTTTAGCGGCTCCTAAAAGGGGCCAATCATGCTAATATGAGCAAATTTGATAAAAGACTTACCAAGAATGCTACAGACAAAGTTTGGTGATCATCCATCAATTAGGTATCTAGATGTTTAAAGGTATTTCTATTTTTAACTTAAGCGGCCCCTAAAAGGGGCCAATCAAATTAATATGAGCAAACTTGATAAAAGACTACCTAAGAATAATACAGACAAAGTTTGGTGATCATCCATCAATTAGTTCTATAGGGTATTTCTATTTTTACCTTTCGCGGCCCCTAAAAAGGGCCAATTAAATTAATATGATCAAACTTGATAAAAGACTACCCAAGAATGCTACAGACAAAATTTGGTGATCTTTCATCAATTAGTTCTATAGAAGACTTTAAAAAGTTTTTCTATTTTAAGCCCTAGAGACCCCTAAAAGGGTCCAATCAAATTTGATAAAAGACTACCCAAGAATGCTACCGATCATCCATCAATTAGTTCTCTAGATATAGATGTTTAAAGATTTTTCTATTTTTAGCTTTAGCGGCCCCTAAAAGGGGCCAATCAATTTAATATGAGCAAATTTGATAAAAGACTACCCAAGAATGATAGAGACATAGTTTGGTGATCATCCATCCATTGGTTTTGTAGAAGAAGATGTGTAAAGGTTTTTCTATTTTTAGCCCTAGAGATCCCTAAAAGGGGCCAATCAAATTAATATGAGCAAACTTGATAAAAGACTACCCAAGAATGCTACAGGCAAAGTTTGGTGATCATCCATCAATTAGTTCTGTAGTAGAAGATGTTTAAAGGTTTTTCTATTTTTTTAGCTCTGCTGACCCCTAAAAGGGGCCAATTGAAATGACATGAGCAAATTCAAGTGTGACTTTCATAAGGATGCTACAGACCAAATTTGAAGTAAATCTGTCCAGTGGTTTCAGAGAAGAAGACGATTGTTGATGTATGACGACGGACGACGGACGTTGGAGTATCCCCCTTTGATACTAATAGCTCACCCTGAGCCTTCGGCTCTAGTGAGCTAATGAAAATGTTAGTAAACAAGAGCTGTCGGTAGGACAGCAACGCTTGACTATTCTTAGTGCTTGATAGTAAAAGAGCCTTGATAATGTAAAATTTTCTAAGTTAACAAAAGGGTCAAATTTTCCTTCAAATCCATGTTACTGTTATAGGCTATTATGCTCTAAAAGAAAAGTATAAAATTTCAACTTGTTTCAAAGCCAGATGTCAATAGTATAAGAAAATATCTGAGGTGGTATGCAAACTTTAACGTAAATTTTAAGTCTGAAAAGGGGTACAATTCTGTCAAAATGCTTGATACAGTTATCTCCTCCTGTCTACAGGTTGGGGTCATGATGGTGAACAAGTGTGCAATTTTAGTTTCAAAGCCATATGTCAATGGACTTTGAAAATATTTGAGGTATTACAAAAACTTTAACAAGAAGCGCCGCAATGCGACGAAAACCAGGTTTTCAACGACCAAGTTTTGATGTGACAGCAATCAATAGGTCAAAAAGCACTGAAGTTATTGAGTAGAAGCTGAAAATTCTATTGTAAGCAAATGACCTTGAACTTGCTCCCAGATATCTTAGTGGCAATCAAAAGCTGCAACTCAGCAAGTTTGGTGTCAAAAGGTCAAAGCAAACTCAAGTTATAACATGAAAACTAAATACATTAACCTTGATCACAGACACCTGGGTAGCAATCCCAAGCTGCCTCTTGTCAAAGCTACCCATTCATCAAGTTTGGTGTCAATAGGCCAAAGCAAACTCAAGTTATTGAGCAGAAACTGAATTTCTATTTTTAGTAACAGTGACCTTGACCTTGACAACAGACACCTGGGTAGCAATCCCAAGCTGCCTCTTGATATAAGCTATCCATACACCAAGTTAGGTGTCAATAGGCCAAAGCAAAGTCAAGGTCTTGAGCAGAAACTGAATTTCTATTTTTAGTAACAGTGACCTTAAACTTGATCACAGACACCTGGATAGCAATCCCAAGCTGCCTCTTGATATGAGCTATCTATACACCAAGTTTGGTGTCAATAGGCCAAAGCAAACTCAAGGTTATTTAACAGAAACTGAATTTCTATATTTAGTAACAGTGACCTTGACCTTAATCACAGACACCTGGGTAGCAATCCCAAGCTGCCTCTTGATATAAGCTATCCATACACCAAGTTTGGTGTCAATAGGCCAAAGCAAACTCAAGTTATTGAGCGGAAACTGAATTTCTATTTTTAGTAACAGTGACCTTGACCTTGATCACAGACACCAGGGTAGCAATCCCAAGCTGCCTCTTGATATAAGCTATCTATACACCAAGTTTGGTGTCAATAGGTCAAAGCAAACTCAAGTTATTGAGCGGAAACTGAATTTCTATTTTTAGTAACAGTGACCTTGACCTTAATCACAGACACGTGGGTAGCAATCCCAAGCTGCCTCTTGATATAAGCTATCCATACAACAAGTTTGGTGTCAATAGGTCAAAGCAAACTCAAGTTATTGAGCAGAAACTGAATTTCTATTTTTAGTAACACTGACCTTGACCTTGATCACAGACACCTGGCTAGCAATCCCAAGCTGCCTCTTGATATAAGCTACCTACACACCAAGTTTGGTGTCAATAGGCCAAAGCAAACTAAAGTTATTGAGCGGAAACCAAAAGTTGACGCCCGCCCGCCTACCCGCCCGCCGACTTCGGCATTACAATAACCCGGTTTTCGTTGAAAAACTGGTTAACAAAAGTGGTTACGCTGACGCAGATGCTCGGGTGACTACAATAGCTCTACTTATTCTTATCGAATAGTCGAGCTAAAAAGAAAGTTATCATAAATATATATTATTGAATGCATTATACTTACAAAACTGCCTTCCAGATTAAATTTAATAGTTTGATTGACAACAGTGTATTGTGGTAGAGCTTCATGTAGACACTTAGAATCTGCATAATCCTGTAAAATTACCAATATACTAGTATAAGATCAGTTTTCATTAGGGATTACAAACTATTTTATGTCAATGACAAAGCAGGGCTATAAATCTGATATATTTTACTTAAATAAAATAGTTTGATACTGTCGAAATTTGACAGTATATAAATAACATATAGATTTGTGAGTAACAGTTAATATTTCATCCCTAGGGAAATAATGGTACCCTAGGCTAACACCTTGGATAACAGTATTTTTACGAGAGATGATATTTTTATTGTTACTCACAAACCCAAGTGTTATTAATATTATTACCCCAAACAAATACTTCATTGAGACACAGTTTCTTTAGGTTTTTATTATAAGATTTTTACTGTGAAAAAGTACTGTTACCTATGTAACAGTACAGATTTTCAGTCACATGGTACGCTTAAATTAACAGTATGAATAACTCCCAGTGGCCTATGGGAAATTAACATTACAACAAAATGTGAGGGGTATTAAAATTGTATAACAAGATTACAAGAGGCTCAAATTATATGATTCTATTTAACTCATTCAATAGATTTAGTATTAACTCTACACTCATTCAATATTCTCTATGTAAATAGCAGTGGTAAGAGATTTTAACACATTTTTATATTTTTTTAAATACAGTCCAACCCCGTTTATTCAAAGTGCCTGGGACTGAGTATTTACTTCGAATAATCGATGGGTTCGAATAATCGAAATCGGAATATTTTGATAGACGAAAACTACTCCACTTTGACCAATCATAGCAAAACTACCGTTTACAACACACTTACTTCCTGTAATCAATTGAGGAAAATAAATATTAAAGAAAAGATGCGTAAAAATTATTGTATTGACATTGAAGACATAAATACTTGCATTTTATTCTACATGATGTATCGTTTCGCTTCGCGCAAAGCCTTGATAATGGCCGTGTTGTCACTACGGTATTTACAGCTAAACTCTGGTATTTTCGATTAGGAAAAAGGCTCTCATGTAGCGTTACAATTAATGAAAAAAATGTGTTGGATGTTTTGACAAATTTACATATACGGTATGTATGAAAATAATTGCCGTCATCTTCAAGCAATAACAGTAACAAAATCGGACACGGTATAATCTTAATTTAGATAAAATTTGGTGATATTTGTTTAATGATTTTCCTTATTTCATAAACATCTCAATAGCCAGTACATTATACACATGAAATACTTTACACATAAGCAGGGTATTTGAAACAGTGAAGGGAAATCACTTTAATAATTCAATCATTATATATTTCCAATGGAATTGTCACCCTTTTATATATCTTTATCTAATTGACAGGATTCTTTAATATCAGATTGGTGTTTCTGTTAGTTTTATCAATTTTTTTTTCGAGGGAAATTTTGTATAGCTAGATCAGTCGCATGCTTTACATGACTTCATTTCAGCACATTTTATGAATAAACTGCATTAAATTGACTTCATTCCAGTGCATCTTAGAATTAAACTGTGTATCAATGATGACATCATTTTGCCGTTATGAATGTAGTTGTAAATAAATGGGTATAAACCATTTAAAATATGATAGAATATGATAGAATATGGTAGAATATGCAAGAATATATATCCGACATGTGTTTGTGATTCAGATCAAAATATCTATCCTTCGGTACCCGCCCGTGGGCAACCTTGGAACCGATATTCAAATCTGAACATATGACAGATATAATTAATCTTCATTATACCTTTTTTTCAACTTTTTCTTGCTTGGTTGGTTTTTAAGTCATACCAAAATATGATGACTATCCAGTTTTACTGGTTGACAAAATCCTTAGGGTGCACCTCAATGCATTATTTCCGGTGAAAGTCAGCACTTGAGTAGAACCATTGACCTTTCATTAACTAGCTATGAGGTTCCCATAATGAAAGAATCCAAAGGGATTTAAACCCAAGTTAGGAGAAGGAAGTGCTTTGAAGTCAGTGATCTTACCACTCAGCCACGGAGGGCCCCTCTACAAGATGTGAGAAGAGATACATGTATATTGAAATTGTAAAATAATAGCATGCAGTACTTACTATAGTCTCTATAACAATTGTAAGTTGTGTTTTATCAGGACTAGTGAGGGCAACATAGCTTCCTCCACCAACAAGATGACCAACACCTGAATGATGACTCAGATAAATCCATCCTGGCTCCGTAAACTGTGCTGTGTGAGCTGAAAGTAATACATGTACATATAACACATTACTATGAATTAATGTAATTTCGAGGGCATAAAACTTTGTCACAAAGAAGACTTTCATGGGTAATTAAATTCATGGACTGCATATTTTTCCAAACGGTAAAATGTAAATAATGCAATGCAAAATAAGACAAAAATCACAAACAAGAGGGCCATGATGGCCCTGAGGTCGCTCACCTGTATATGGGCCCCCGGAGCGGGGCCAGTTTAAACCCCAGGGCTTTTATTTGAACAAACTTGGAAGACACCCATTATAGAAGATGTTTCATGATGTTAAGTTTTTACTACACACATATAATGAAAAACAATGACCCCCCCCCCCCCCCCCCGGGCAGGGCCAATTTTAACCCAAGGCTTTTTATTTGAACAAACTTGGTAGACACCCATAAGAAGATGTTTCATGCTAAACATCTAAACTCAAGCTCATTGGGTTTTTTGAAAGAAGATTTATTAAGTTTTTATAATACACATATAGTAAAAAACAATGACACCCCTGGGGCCGGGCCAGTTTTGACCCCGGGACTTTTGAACAAACTTTGTAGACACTTACTAAATTACTAAAAGATGTTTCATGCTTAATATCTAAACTCTAGCTATTTGGGTTTTTTCAAAGAAGATTGTTTAAGTTTTTGCTATACACATATAAGGGAAATCAATGACCCCCGGGCAGGGCCAATTTTGACCCCAGGGCTTTTATTTGAACAAACTTTGTAGACACTCACTAGAATATGTTTCATGCTAAATATCTAAACTCTAGCTATTTGGGTTTTTTTAAAGAAGATTGTTTAAGTTTTTGCTATACACATATAAGGAAAATCAAGGACCCCCGGGGCGGGGCCAATTTTGACCCCAGGGCTTTTATTTGAACAAACTTGGCAGACACCCATAAGAACATGTTTCATGATAAATATCTTAGCTCCATCTCTTTGAGTTCTTTAAAAGAAAATTTTTAAGTTTTTACTATATGCATATAGGAAAAATCAATGACCCCCTGGGCCAGTGGGACGGGGCCAATTTTGACCCCAGGGCTTTTATTTGAAAAACTTGGTAGACACTCACTAGAAGATGTTTCATCCAAAATATTTAAGCTCTAGCTCTTTGGGTTTTTTTAAAAGTTTTTCTCTCTGTTGCCACGGCAACCAGAGTTCTGCAAGGAATTAAATTCTTTGAACAATTTTTAAAGGTGACCACCAAAGGAACATTCCTGTGAAGTTTGGATGAAATTGGCTTAGTGGTTTATGAGTAGATGTCATTTAAAGTAAAAGTTTACGGACAGATGACGGCCGGACGCCGGACGAAAAGCGATCACAAAAGCTCACCCTGTCAGTTTGTGACAGGTGAGCTAAAAATAGTTCCCAACGAATAACAGATTTTACAGTACTACAGATAAAACTTGTTGAAAGACAAGAACATTAAATCAACAAGGGTAATACACACTTAAGTGTCAAAAGTCACTTATGTATTTCAACCTATTGTGAATTATCATTGTTTACTTTAAACTTTAGGCTTCAAAGCAACCAATCAAATGTAAGCATTTATAGTCTTCATTTTATTATTGTAATAAAAATATTGCTATATTTTTTTGTTGTCATATAAGTAAGAAATGTTGTTACCGGTCATCCAAATGGTAGAATCAACACTGTAATGTCCACTCCATGGACTGTTAGCAGTCATCAGACCACATCTCTGATAAGGCATACCCTCATAGTATGCTGCTATCAAGTTCCAAGATATTGTACTGAAATATTATACTTATAATATAATCTTGTGTTAGTTTTTACTAATTTATTTTAGTTAATGTTGGAAGCTGTAAGCTTATTGAAACACTCTTGAATCTGTTCGTACTAAGCAATGAGTGTAAAGTTTCTTGCTCAAGGAAACAACAGCTTGCCCCGGCCAGGATTTGAACACAAATGGCCAGCAATCCTTAGATTAACTAGTCCTTCTGGTTAACTTCTAGGCCAAGCTGCTGTTTAAAGTGACATTAAGCACATCTCGGTGTAAATGGTGAGTGTACAGATTAAAGAAAAAAAATATCCATTTTGCCATAATTATTTTTTAAATTTAGTTTTGTATTTTACTACACAGATATCATTAGAAACTCAGGTGACTTATAAATAATAATTCTAGAGACATCCTTCAAAATATATCAGTAGTGTTCAGTTTTTTAAAGAATATAGCAGCCTTGTTTTACTCTTATTGTAGGTAAATTTTATATTTTATCTTAAACATTCTTAATAATCAATTATTGGTCAATCAGCATTATGGTGGTCAACTTTTTATTCTGGTCTTTCGGGATCATTGATGCCAGCACTATTAAGTGTTGAGAATTGAGTACCGCTCAAGCCGGTGCTAAAGGGCATGAGGGATGTTGCACTTTACATTATCCCTCATGTACAGACTCAATCAAATTGAGTCTGCAATTCTCTTGTAATTTTGTCGTGATTAATGCTTCCGAGGGATCACTTTGTTTCCAGACTTTATTAAAATATTTTACTAATTCAACACAATTTGACAGCAATAAAAAGGAGCATAATGTCACTTTAACAAATTGTCCTTTTCTTGTGGTAATTCTCGAGTTTACAAAGACTAACTTATTTGAACAATTATTTAACCCATTAATTAATATAGAAGTGTTCTGAGGGTCAGTCACCAACCCCCCCCCCTTTTGTGGCATCAAATAGTGAAAATAAAATGCCCTTTTTAGACCCAAACACTGGTTTTCCTTTGAGAAATGGTGTTAAAAAAACTGATTACTTTTTTGGCACCATCCCTTATCAAATAGATACATCAAGGGGGTGCCAGAGGGGGAATGTGCCCCCTTCTGTTTGGGGGTTTGAAGGGGGGCAGCAGACCCCCTCATCTCCAAGAAAACTTTGGGCTTGTGAGAGGCTAAAAAGGCCTCAGGTTGACGTTAATGTAACATGTAACCAATGCTGAAAAGCCTTTAACTCTATCCATTGAGAAGTTGCAGCACTTTGAAATCAGTTTTGATAGAAAAATCAACGCAACATTGTGATTTTTGGCAATTTTGAAATGTCCCTTGTTGCCATGGTAACAGCACATTTGCAATTGAGCATGCTGTTACAAAGGCTCTGGTCCAGTCAACATTTGTGCCAAGTTTGAACAGTATTGAAGCCTTTGTTTATAGTTTCATAGCAATTTGAACTTGTAACAGGAGGCTATTCAAAGAAAACAGCCATTTTTCACAATATGCTAATACAGTAATGGGTTAAACATTAAAATCATAGTGTAGATATATAACAAAATTATCTATTTTCTGATTTGAAAAGACATGCCAAATAACACAAAAACATACCTTGTCATCAGTCCATTCACATAGTTCTGATTCAAAATCTAAAAATAGAAGTGATTTATGCATTTAACATTTCAGTTTTGTTACAGCCGAAGTATATACATGCATATAATATATCATGGTAATACAAACTAATATGGTAAATGAAAATACAAGCACTTTTTAACAGTTGGTTTTGCAATGACCCTTCATATAAGTCTATTTTTGTGATTATAATTTTTGTTAAGTTATATTTTTTTCTATCATTAAAATTATTTTAAATTATTTGAAATAAATACAGCAATACTGGGCTTGTTTATGCTATTTACATAAGAAAGCCAAACATACCCGAGCCCAGCACCTTGCTCCATGTACATCATTAAATGTACTATAGTCCTCTGATGCCCACAGTTGTTTGCCCCACATTATAGACCCCAGATTACTCTGGGTACTTGAATAATGAACACTAAAATGAAGAAAAATTGTATTCTTTTACAAGCAATGTATATCATGGAATTATGATAAAAGTATTAATTTTAAATTTAATTTATTAAATTATTATTCCACTTAGGTGGTAAAAAAAGCCTAAATATATAAAATTACAAATTCTTACATTGAAGCCCTTAAAGTGGAAAATTTGTGAAATACACTCAGAATTAAATTGAATATCAAATATTTTGTGCGATTAAAATTTTGTGCATTTCAACATTTTTTGGTCATTTTGCACCAAAAAAAATGTTTATTCTGAAAAAAAAAATGATATGCATAGAGAATATTTACCAACAAGATTTAAACAGAACATCTTCAAACCTTTTGTTCTCTAGTGGGACCAATGGACTGTTCAACTATTACAAATACCTTGGTACCAATTATATTTTACTGGTGTACGAAAAAATACTTTATATGAATGGTCAACTGATGCAAAGTGGACTGGTGAATGGTTAAATATAACAGGAAAAGAATTTTACAATGCACACTGTATAAAAGAGGACATAGTTATATACTACTGTATAAGCAGTTAAGTCAGCGATGTGGAAATATCGGCAAATTAAGCAAATTGACGGAAATCGCTAAAATTTCCTCTAGCGTAAATATCAACCAACCTGTAATTAAATTCTACACATGCATGATTCGCTAATATTTCATCACGCGAAATTTCTGGAATTTTTAATCTGCTAACTTTTCAACATGCAGGAATATCCACTTATACAGTATTTTAATGGTTTATACTGGTAAAAGTTTAATCGGTCATATAATATAGTGGAAGAAGATGCAGTGTGGATATAAGGTAATTGAATAAATACAAAGATGGTGCATAAGCTACATGCCTCTCTACAATAAAACAGGTATAGTATATCAATTTAAAATGTTTATATCTAGCTGTTATTGTTATACTTTCTTCATAGCCTCAAAGATTTAAATGTCAAAAGACATTTTCCCAAAAATTACTCAAACACTATTTTGTGGTCTTTTTTGCGTATAATAGAAACAGCTTGGATTAGCTACTCTGAAAATAGTTCTCTAACTTTTCTCCTATTTGCATATATTTTTCAAGTTTTGAGACAATGAAGGTCCTTATATTATCCTAAACTAAATCTTCAACTTTAAATGTTTTAAATTATGACACTTACAATTGAAACCCTATGTATTTTGCACTATTATGGTATCAAAGCACAGGAGAGCTAAGGGATATAAAATAAGATTGACCGAACCCATAATAATCTACAGCAGATGATAAGAGTGGATCCAGACCCATGTCTCGTACAAGATTGCTTTGTTTAGATGCATAGTCTGCTCCAAAATCATCAGCAGCTACTATCTTAATATGCTGCATACCATTAGAATCTAAGGACGCTCTTAGCATCTAAAATTAACCAAAATTGCATGCATTAATTCTTTAAAAAAAAAAAATTCCTCTTCGCATTGAAATTTGTGAACTGACAATTAATGCCTGTTCATCCATTTTCCTGTACTGAAGTCATTTTACATTAAGAAAATGGCAGCAATTATAACCTGTACAAAATAGGTCTGCATCATTTGTATTTATACAAATTAAGCCAGATCAAAGTAACTGCACTCCCAACACAGCCAAAGAGTAAGCTTGAGATATATGTAGAAGAAAAACTGGAAATACTAAAAGGTAGCACTATTTTGCCTTTAACAATTTGTTATAACATGAACGAGCTTCTTTACTAATTCTTGCATGACATGTACCTTAAAATATTCAAAAGCTATAAAGCCATGATATTACAAAATAATATTTCCTGAAGTTGCTCTCCAATTTTATTTATAAAATCTATTTTCACTTACATCCCTTGACAATTTTTGTGCTTTAACTTGTGCAATAAAGTGCAATAAAATCATGCTTGACTGTTTGTGCTTCAATTTTCATCTTTGATGATGATCCGTAACTTTAATCAAGTCTTAATTAAGATTTAACCAAGGAAGCATTGTACAAAACTTATTGATGATTTAAAGATTGGTACATTAGATAACGCTACATTAATATTGAGTAGCTCCAGTAAAATGTTCAACTAGAAACTAACTCTTGATGAGTAACAACTATGGATAAATTAATAAAGATTTCTTAACATGCTATTCAAAAGACTTTCTTATGCATGCAGTGTTCAAAGCAATCGCCCACCTTCTTCATGCTCAAAATTTCTATCTTGTCTTATAAAGGCTAAAATTAAGTTGCTTGCTCATGCAGATAGTTGCTTAATGAAAGATAAGGTATAAAGGTACATGCAACAGTATCATGCAAAGTTTCTTATTACTAGTATTATTATTATCTTGTTTTAGTTTTCAATTTGTAATCAAGTCTCATTTTGTAAACATTTTGTACAAAAAAAATATATCCTTCATTCAAAAATCCAATCAAGTCATTTCTGAATTTATTTGAAATCAGTACAGAAGTGGATCAACCAGTCAGTTTAATATATGTTAGACTGGTTTATATAACTAGCTTTCAAGGCATATCTCTAAATTTTACAGCAGGAGAAGGGAAGTAACCAAGCTTACCCAAAGAAATTAATGGCAGAGGAGAGTTCTTGATCTAGTAACATGTCTCGTGCAAGATTAGTTTCAAATTCAGCTTGGAAATCATCAGCTGCCACAATTTGAATATGTTCAAAACTGTTCTTGTCTAAAGCTTTCCGTAACATCTACATTAAAAAACAAAGAAAATCAATGGAAGACCAAATGGTCTAATTAAGGGGCTCACCAATAATTCAGTCATGAAAATTATCATTGAAATGTACCAGCAAGTCAGGCTAGAAACTAAGAAATTTTAACTGTAAGCTTAGAGTTTTTTTCCCTGAAAATCAATCTGCTAGTTTTTTTTGCTGTAGGGTTAGTGCTTATTTCTACCTCTGCAATATGCTGCTTGAACGTTGAATTTCTTAAGCAATTAAATTTGCAATTTATAGTCAAAATTTCATTTTTTAGCTTGCAGGTTAACATATGGTAAAACAATCAGGAGAGATAAGTACCCAAAATACTGAAAACAAACATGTACAAAGAAAGTGTACAGTTTATTTTTAATTTTAGACAGTTTACATGACTAAAATAAATCTAATTTTAAAACTAGAAATGTGTCATCACGCCACAGATGCCCCAGCATGCAGCCAAAATTTCAGATGTTATAATATTTAGTGCCAAATTTGTTTGCACAGATTATTTTTTTTCATTTTAAGTTCAAAGCCCTTAAAACAATTCAATATTTACACAAACCATTTTTATACAAAGTTCAAGGCACTGAAACTATTCAGTGTTAACCTATTGTAAATTGCATATTGCATATTTGTAGCCAAAATAATGGCTACATACATTTCAACAAAAGTATGAGTGCTGAAACTGAAAATTCTAAATTTTTCCAACACTCAAGAGAGATAACTTTGTCCAAAATCATTGAACCATGACCAAATTCAAACTTGAACTGCTTATTCCTAAGATATATCTATATGTCAAATTTGAGTTGAATGTGTACAACCATTGGGGAGATAATGAACGGAAACTTAAAATTTCTGATTTTTTCAAAGTTCAAGAGGGATAACTCTGTCAGCTATCATTAAACCATGACCAATTTCGAAATTGACCAATGCATCCTTATGACATATCCATATCTTTAATTTGAGTTGAATATGTACAACTGTTGGGGTGATAATGTCAATGGGAACTGAAAATTTCCTCTTTTTTTTTCAAAGTTAAAGGGGCATTACTCTGCCAAAAATCATCAAACCATGACCAAATTCTAACTTGACCTGTATTTTCTCGTGACATATGTGTAATACCCTAGAGGAGATAATGAACAGAAACTGAAAATTTCATATTATTTTCTAAGTGAAAGTGAAATAATTCTGCCAAAAATCATCAAAACACGACCAAATTCAAACTTGACCTGCACATTCTTTTGACATATCCATATGTCAAATTTGAGTTGAATGTGTAACACTGTTGGGGAGATCATGTACAGAAACAGAAAATTTCATATTATTTTCAAAAAGAAAGGGGCATTACTCTGCAAAAAATCATCAAACCATGACCAAATTCTAACTTGACCTGTATTTTCTCATGACATATCCATATGTCAAATTTGAGTTGAATTTGTGCAACCGTTAATAAGATAATGAACAGAAACTGATGATGACGGAATGACAGAATGACGGAACAGGGTAACACTATAATTGCCCCAGCCATTATATGGCGGGGGCATAAAAGTATTCTAGAAAATTTACTTTTGAAACTTAGTTACATCTTTTTCCCTTTCTTTTCTGTACAAAACTTGCATAAAAATATTACTATTTGTATGCCATTGAAAATATGGTTTGAATAATTTCTTGATTAACACAGACAAATCATGATCACATATCAAATGGACTTTAAATGTACATCCATATGAACTTGGTAAATTAGGAAAAGAAGTATAATAACAACATTTTCCACTTTTTTGTTTCAGGTACATCAGATACCGAATAAGCTGGCTATACACTAAATATTCAAAGATTACGTAATTGAAGGTACTAGAAAGCTGATTCATGTTTAACAAAATCGCTCCCTTAATACAGTTTTGAGATTTCCCACAATTTAGTTTCAAAATAATTAGTTTAGTTTAATTCAAAAGAAATCTTGAAGGATATTTGAAGCAATTTCATTTCCTGAAACTTACATGAGTAGTGTACTCATATAAAGAAACAATTGACTCTTATTGTAGTTTTTGTTTCGTTTTATGGCCAACCAACAGTTTGGTCATATGTAGCCGAAAGCAGAAAAACAGGAAAGACAAATTTGGCTAACGTCTTGTGTTACAACCTTAAAGCAACACCAGGGGTCAAGACCAGCTGACATAGTGGAGCTAAGAAATGCATAGACTCCAGTAATTTGAACTCATTTAGTCATCGAGGGTTAAAAAGTTGCCGCAATTCTGATGCCTCCATAAAGGCTACAGGGGGCTGATATTCCAATAGGGCTGGATGAAACTACCTCTAGATTGAAAGGCAGACAGCAAAACTTCTATGCCCCCTCTCACAAAAAAATAAATGTTCCATATGGAAATCTGAGAGGCATGTACAGGGTAAGTTTTTGGGGAATTGGTAAATGGAGTATGATAGGCGAAGACAGGATTTAATTATAGAGCAAATGTTGTCTACACACTTTACGCTTACCCAAACACATCAACAGCTGATGATAACTCGGGATCTATTAACATTTCCTCCGCAAGATTGGTCTCAAATTCAGCTTCATAGTCGTCAGCTGCGACAATTTGTGTAAACACAAAACCAGCCTTGTCTAAAGCTTGACGTAACATCTACATGTGAGAATAATATTGCTACCAGACTTATAGCCATACACTTTAAAATGCTCTATATCAAATATAATTATTTGACAACATTTCTCCCTGTCATGATTGAAGGTCAACAGAAAGTGATATTGACCGTGTCAGTCGTGATATTGATATAAAAAACTGTCTATCTAAGAAACCAATCGCTAATGGATTTACAATTGGGGTACTAGCCAACCAATCAAAAACAATGTTACATATCACAGCCACCCTGTTTAAATAACAGATTCAAACAGCATTTTCTGTCAAAAATAAATTAATAGATGCAGCACTTAAATTCTTCAAGCAGAGATCTAATAATGAAGAAAATAAAAAAACAATTTTTATTTGAGCAATGAGTGTAATGTTCCTTGCTCAAGGAAACAACAGTTTTCCCCTAACACGGTTTGAAACCATGTGGCTTAAGCGATCATTAGATTACTAGTCCAGGGTACTGACCACTCCAATAAGAACAAGAAGTGCTTCTGTAGTATAAACGCTCACCTGGTAATCAGCAATGTGTATACATATAAGACTATCAGCAATTTTACTGTAATGACCACCTAGATCATATTTTGTGCAATATGACCCTGTTTTTATCTTACAAGAATGCAAGAAAGTATAATATGTAAAATATAAATGCTTATCAAATACTCAAAAAAAGAAGGAGTAAAAATGACCTATTACTCAAGTACAGTTCTGATGACAGTGTTTCCTACTAGTGTTTGAGACTTGGGTTTAAAAACATGGGTTAAAACAGAACCCAGAGCCTTCTTGATATTTTGATTTCAGATCAAGATATGAATATACAACAAAATTCTTCAAATTTCCAGGGGATACATTAAACATATTTTGGGCTGAATAACATCCTATCTGTTTGGTGGGGGGGGGGGAGTAGTTGGGAGAACTTTATGACCTTGACTTCCAGACATTAGAACAGCATACACATGCTGTATCTTACAATCAGAATAAGATTGACCTTGACCTATAAAACTATAATGATATACCACTGATATTAAATCAGCTTCAAGATTAATATCCCCTGAATAGCATTTTCAAATCATTCCACAATGCTGTTATGCAAACACAATAACAATAATAGTCAATTAGTAAATTCTTCAGGAAAATTGAAAAACTTCAAATTTTGCAACCAAACTGTTAATAGACTTTTGAACTTTTTAGAAAGTAAGAATTGTGATCAAGTTTAAAAAAGTTTTTAAAAAGTCTTATATCTACCTTTAAATATGTTGTATTGTAGTTTTGTTCATTCCATTCCTGAAATAAAAATACTGTCAGTCATGCTTGATTACTACAACTATTTTATTTAAATTTAACTGCTGGCATAACAAATATAATGAAGAATGCATAAATATTAACTAAATCCTATATAAAGGCAAGATTATTTTAAAACTATAGCATCTATATAGAATATATAAGAAAGGAATCAATGTTGATCCAACAACAAATACATTGTTGGTGTGTTACATCACTTGCAATATAATTTAAAATACAGTTACCAGTTAAAATATATTTACTTTCTTTATATCATATTATGAACATGCAAAGTATTTCCTCTAAAGTATCAGATCATGAAATTTACAAAGCTTAAATTCATAAATTTGTCAAAGAATTTATATAAAAAAACTTCGACCGAATTCTGTTGTTAATGTAGGTGTTGTCAACACACTGACCCAACAACTAAAATATTTTTTTCTAAATTCTTACCCCAATATAATCTATATCAAGATTATGATACTGCTTAGCTCCCTTGATCCATTTAATGATGTATTCCACTGTTCTCTCAGGGTAGGTGTATGGTGAATTTGTACCGTTACCAACCCAGCCAGAAAACACCCATGGTAACCCATACAGTTTTATCTTTGGATTTCTCTATAAACAATACAAACCATGGCTTCAATCATTCTATATAGGTTATTCTATTCTGCTACAAGCTTTAAACTTTATCAGGCAGAAAAAAACTACAGGTTATAATAAAACTTTTACTGATAAGGTACATAATTATATTTAAAAATAATCTGTGAAAATTACAATCAACAATGCTGTACCATTACTTCAAAAGGCTTTGCCACTAGCATAAAGTCATTCCAAGCTGCAAAATGTCTTTACTTTAGGCTCAGACAAACTACCCTTACACCATTGTGATATCCCTAAAAGTTGGGATGTACTGTTTCAAATACTAAGCTAAACATACCTATTGAGATAATTCAGCAAAAGGTTCACATGCAGCTTGTATATAATACTGCATGTTTGTAACGTCATTTTTCATTGGATAATCATGATGTTAATATAGTTAAATATACACAGCTTCAGTAAATTTATGAAGAAACCTAACTTTTTTCTCTAACGAAGGAAGTTTGCTGTATTATAAATAAGTTATAAATATTCCTGACAGGTTATATGACCATAATATAAACAGGTGTTTGCAATATAACCCTCGCATAGTGGTTTGGGTTATATTAACAGTTTATATAATGCCATAAAATCTGTCAAAAAATCTTTATATTTAATAATATACACAGGTTTTGTCTGCATTTACTTAAAAAAGTTACAATGAAATTTTCCTCTTTAAAAAAAACAAACTTAGTCAAATACCTTTTTAGCTTCTTTCATCATCCACCATTCATAACCTCTATCATAATTCTCATCACCATCATGATATATATGAGTAGCTTCACTACCAACTGTAAAACATGAACTGTATACTACACCATACATTTTAAACCTAATGAACCATACACTTCACCATACATTCTATTAAACATTAACTATTTATTCTAACACAACCCACATTTTTCCCTACTGAACATATAAGAACCGTAAGTGTGAGTAAATATGCAATAAAATCACTGGTGACGATGTATATTTAGACAAAACTGTTAAAAATGCAATGTACTAAAAATAAGTAACTATGCACAATTTAGACAGATAGGTTACGGCAGCATTTATTTGTTGATCATGTGAGAATCAAAATAGTATATCCCAAGCAGTGATTATTTTGAGTGTCATTCAATGTGCAGCATTTTATCACACATGCTAAACCCTCATGATATTATTACTCGCATCCTAATTCCAAACAATAATTTGCAATAAAATCACTGTTGGGGATACATGTATATTATTTTTTAAGTATACATATACCATAAATTCTATAAAAAGAGGGCTATGATGGCCCTGAAACTGCTCACCTGTATTTAGGCCCCCGGGGCAGGGCCAATTTTAACCCTGGGGCTTTTATTTGAATAAACTTGGTAGACACAAATTTGAAGATGTTTCATGATAGATATCTAAGATCTAGTTTTAAGAAGATTTTTAAAGTTTTTACTATACACATATAGGGAAAAACAATGACCTCCCCCCCCTCTGGGAGGGGCCAATTTTGTCTCCAGGGCTTTTATTTGAACAAACTTGGTAGACACTCATTAGAAGATAATTCATGCTTAATATCTAAACCTTAGCTCTTTGGGTTTTTTAAGAGAAGATTTTTTAAGTTTTTACTATATACATATAAGGAAAATCAATGATCCCCGGGGCGGGGCCAATTTTAACCCCAGGGCCCTTATTTGAACAAAAATGGTAGACACCCATTGGAAGATGTTTCATGCTTAATATCTTAGCTCTAAAGGTTTTTTAAAAGAAGATTTTTAGGTTTTTACAAACACATAAAAACAATGACCCCCTTGGGTGGGGCCAATTTTGACCCCAGGGCTTTTATTTCAACTTAGTAGACACCCACTAGAAGATGTTTTATGCTTAATAGCTAAGCTCTAGCTATTTGGGTTTTTTAAGAGAAGATTTTTCAAGTTTTTACTATGTACAAATAAGGAAAATCAATGACCACCCGGGCGGGGCCAATTTTGACCCCTGGGCATTTATTTGAACAAACTTGGTAGACACTGACTAGATGATGTTTCATGCCAAATATTTAAGCTCTAGCTCTTACGGTTTTCTAAAAGAAGATATTTTAAGTTTTTTCTTTCCGTTACCATGGCAACCAGAGTTCAGCTTGGAATTAAATTCTTTGAACAATTTTTAAAGTTGACTACCAAAGGAACATTCCTGTGAAGTTTGGATGAATTGGCTTAGTGGTGTATGAGGAAATGTCATTTAGAGTAAAAGTTTACGGGCGAACGCCAGACGGACGCTGGACGAAAAGTGATCACAAAAGCTCACCATGTCACTTTGTGAAAGGTGAGCTAAAAATTGAACTATACATGTATATCTTAATTAAGCTCATTACTAAAATTAACTACAATTACATAAACAGTACACCATACATTTTATATCACATGAACTATACAGTACACCATACACTATATCACATGAACTATACAGTACACCATACACTATATCACATGAACTATACAGTACATCATATAATTTATATCACATGTCATGAAGTATATAATGCAATATACACTTTATATCAAATGAACTAGATTGTCCAATATACATTCTATAATTAATGAACCATTATTGTTGATGAACTTTAATAATAAATTTATACATACAAAATTTTCGAGAAGTAAAATTATCTTATTTCTGTACTAACCAAAGTTCCAAATTATACACTTAGAAAAATTTGCTTTACAACCAAAACTGGCAAAATGTGAGGGTAATTTTTTATAATGACAGTTGTAACCTTACCTCCACTCATTGATCCACCCCCTATCTCAACTTTCAAAATATGAAGAGATGCTCCAAAATTAGGCTGAAACAAAAAACACAAATCCAAATACACAAATAACATGAGAACTGCAAAGGCGGGATAATATACCCTCAAATGTAAATTTGTTCTAGTAATAAAAAAAAATCTTTCAATTTATGGAAGAGATGCAATCAAGAAACTTTACTAAAGATATTCATCTTGATTATACTTATGGTACTAGTAAATGACCTCAAGGTGGAGGCATGTTTTACCCTAAGTGCATGATTTATAAAACTTTTATAGAGGTCTACTAGGCAGTGCTATGTGCCAAATATGGAAAATCCTGGCATAGTAGTTATCCATAAAAAGGTAAGATGTGCATATAAAACTTCCTATAGAAGTCTTTATAAATAAAGTGACCTCCAGGATGACCCAAATATTGACCCAAGGGGCATGATTTATATCAAATATGTAGAGTTCAACAAGGCAATGCTATATGACAAATATTCAAGATCTAGGCATTCTGGTTCACAATATAAGACTTAACTGTGCTTTCTTATACAAGGCTATATCAACCAAGTGACCACCAGGGTGGGCTAATATTGACACAAGAGGAATGATCAATACCAATTTTGTAGAGGCCAACAAGGCAATGCAACATGACAATATCAAAGCTCTAGGCATTTTTTTTAGCTTCACAAAATGTGACTTCTCCTATACAAGACTATATGAATTAAGTAATCCTCGGGGCGGAGCCAATTTAGATCCCAGGAATCCTGAACCTGTGTTCTGAGCATTGTCGTATTATAAGTAATATTTCTTCCAAATAGTTCTAAATTCTTTTTATTGGTTCAAAAGATACAGAGCTTGCACAGTATTCAATAGACAGAAAGATTTACCAAAATCATTGTTTTTTATATCTGAGCCTGCTGGATTTGGTCATAAGGGCCATAACTCAAACAAGAGCCGGTTGAACCGGGTGATGCTCCCCGAATAGGTTTTGGACACAGGAAGGTATGTTTCTTGTGTCAGAGTTATGTCACAGACAAAGTTCAAAGTGTAAAAACAACCCAAATATTGTGCACGACACAATGTCTCAATATGGTGATCATTTTTGTGAAATAGTTGTAAAATCTGACTTCAAATAACGAAGTTATGCGCCTGACATTATTTTGCTGCAAGGTCATGCTGTGACCTTGACCTTCAAGGTAGTGACCCAAATGTTGCATGTGACACGTCGATTCAATATGGTGATCATCTCTGTTAAATAGATGTTAAATCCGACTTCCAGTAACAAAGTTATGGGCCGGACACGATTTTGCTGCAAGGTCCTACTTGACCTTCAAAGTAGCGACCCAATTGTTGGGGGCGACACAATGTCTCATTGTGGTGATCATTTCTGTGAAACAGTTGTAAAATCCGACTTTAAATAATGAAGCTATGTGCCGGACACGATTTTGCTGCAAGGTCATGCTGTGACCTTGACCTTCAAGGTAGCGAGCCAAATGTTGCGCACGACACGCCATTTTAATATGGTGATCATTTCTGTGAAATAGTTTAAAAATCTGACTTCAAATAAGGAAGTTATGGGCCGGACACGATTTTGCTGCAAGGTCATGCTGTGACCTTGACCTTCAAGGTAGCGACTTAAATGTTGTGCATGACACGTCATCTTAATATGATGATCATTTCTGTGAAATACTTTTTAAATCCAACTTCAACTAGCAAAGTTATGGGCCGGACACGATTTTGCTGCAAGGTCATGCTGTGACCTTGACCTTCAAGGAAGCAACCCACATGTTGCGCACGACAAATCGTCTCAATATGGTGATCATTTCTGTGAAATATTTTTTAAATCCAACTTCAAATAACAAAGTTATGGACCGGACACAATTTTGCTGCAAGGTCATGCTGTGACCTTGACCTTCAAGAAAGCGACCCAAATGTTGCGCGCGACACGTCGTCTCAATATGGTGATCATTTCTGTGCAATATTTTTAAAATCCAACTTCAAATAACAAAGATATGGACCGGACACAATTTTGCTGCAAGGTCATGCTGTGACCTTGACCTTCAAGGTAGCGATCCAAATGTTGCGCGCGACACGTCGTCTCAATATGGTGATCATTTCTGTGAAATAATTTTAAAATTCGACTTCAAATAATGAAGTTATGGACCGGACACGATTTTGCTGCAAGGTCATGCTGTGACCTTGACCTTCAAGGTAGCGACCCAAATGTTGCGCGCGACACGTCGTCTCAATATGGTGATTATTTCTGTGAAATATTTTTAAAATCCGACTTCAAATAACAAAGTTATGGGCCGGACACGAATTCGGTACGTACGGACGGACAACCCGACGACTATATGCTCCCCCGACCTTCAAGGTAGCGACTTAAATGTTGTGCATGACACGTCATATTAATATGATGATCATTTCTGTGAAATACTTTTTAAATCCAACTTCAACTAGCGAAGTTATGGGCTGGACACGATTTTGCTGCAAGGTCATGCTGTGACTGACCTTCAAGGAAGCCACCCACATGTTGTGCACGACAAATCCTCTCAATATGGTGATCATTTCTGTGGAATATTTTTTAAATCCGACTTCAAATAACAAAGTTATGGACCGGACACGATTTTGCTGCAAGGTCATGCTGTGACCTTGACCTTCAAGGTAGCGACCCAAATGTTGCACGCGACACATCGTCTCAATATGGTGATCATTTCTGTGGAATATTTTTTAAATCCGACTTCAAATAACAAAGTTATGGACCGGACACGATTTTGCTGCAAGGTCATGCTGTGACCTTGACCTTCAAGGTAGTGACCCAAATGTTGCGCAAGACACGTCATTTCAATATGGTGATCATTTCTGTGAAATAGTTGTAAAATCCGATTTCAAATAACGAAGTTATGGACCGGACACGATTTTGCTGCAAGGTCATGCTGTGACCTTGACCTTCAAGGTAGCGACCCAAATGTCGCGCTCAATATGGTGATCATTTCTGTGAAATATTTTTAAAATCCAACTTCAAATAACAAAGTTATGGACCGGACACGATTTTGCTGCAAGGTCATGCTGTGACCTTGACCTTCAAGGTAGCGACCCAAATGTTGCGCGCGACACGTCGTCTCAATATGGTGATCATTTCTGTGAAATATTTTTAAAATCCAACTTCAAATAATGAAGTTATGGACCGGACACGATTTTGCTGCAAGGTCATGCTGTGACCTTGACCTTCAAGGTAGCGACCCAAATGTTGCGCGCGACACGTCGTCTCAATATGGTGATCATTTCTGTGAAATAATTTTAAAATCCAACTTCAAATAACAAAGTTATTGGCCGGACACGAATTTGGTATGTACGTACGGACAGACGGACGGACAGACGGACGGACGGACAACCCGACGACTATATGCTCCCCCGAAATTTTTCGGGGAGCATAAAAATAAGAAATGCAGAGTATCGATTCTTGTGCACTGCACTTCTTCTTAATGAGATCTATCATCCTATGAAATTTCAAGTCTATGGCTTTTATACATTAGGAGAAATGGCCCGGACAAAAATAAAGTATGAAAATTAAAAAGGGCAATAACTCAAAAATTAGGAAGTGCTGAGTACCTGTTCTTGTGCACTGCACTTCTTCTTAATAAGAAATATCATCCTATGAAGTTTCAAGTCCATGGCTTTTATACATTAGGAGAAATGGCCCGGACAAAAAATAAAGTATGAAAATTGACAAAGGGCAATAACTCAAAAATTAGGAAGTGCAGAGTACCGGTTCTTGTGCACTGTACTTCTTCTTAATGAGATCTATCATCATATGAAGTTTCAAGTCCATAGCTTTTTTAGTTGAAGAGAAATGCCCGGACAAAATTAAAGTATGAATATTAACAAAGGGCAATAACTCAAAAATTAAGACCTGCAGCGTACCGGTCCTTGTGCACTGCACTTCGGGTTATTGAAAGAAGCAAGCATACCAAGTTTGAAGTCAATCAGACTTATAGTGACTGAGTTATGCTCCGGACAAGCTTTAGGGGATGCAGACACCGACGCGGACGACAAAAGTAACCCCTATATGTCGCCTTTTCAAGGCGACACAAAAACCCTGGCTTTCAAAACAACTAGAAAAACTTACCTTAAAGAGGTAGTCTAAAATTTGATTCCTGAGATCTTCTGGATATCCTGGTAACAGTTTTGATGTTGCCTGTAATACAATAAGGTACAAATGAATTTATGTGAGTGTTTCAGTACATTAAATTAAAGTGACATGGTTAGAGATAACGTACAATGAATAAACAAAAAAACATAATTTTTCGTCCAAGGCATTTATAAATAATTCAAAAGATTGAAACCATAATCAAAGTTACAAAAAAATCATTTATACCGTTTTTTAACTTCAATTTTTATAAGAAGTAACTTCCAAATCAGTTTTCCAAAAACCCTTTCTATTAAAAAAGCTATGTAAATAATTAGCTGCACATACAAATGTTTATTTATGTTTGCACATTCAATTGCATTCACAAGTGCAGTGCTCCTTTCATGATTAACTGTTAGAATTTCTATACTTTTAACCAGAACTTACTGCACTTTCCACGTATTTTTGCTAAATCTCAAATTAACAAATTTGCATATAACTTGATATTTTTAGCTGAAACTTAAAACTGTTCTTTCCTATTTATAAATTTACAAACTGGTAACTAATTGTCACTCTGTCATTTGGATGCAAATATCTTAGTTTGTAAGTTGAATTTTTGGAAACAAACCTTATTTCACTCTAAATGAAACTAACCATAAAACAACTTGATTTTTTTATAAAACACCTACATAAAGCAGCAACATATAAATAATGTTAATTTGGAAGCTTTAAGACAAATCACTATGACTTACCCCTCCACCACTGAGGCCTCCAAGACCATCAAATCTTCTCCCCAAACCATTAGAATCATCAAATGTATACTGGCCTATTGAACAGCTCACAAAACAACAACAGATTATAGCTAACACCCTCATCCTCTGTAAAATAAAATATACAAAATTTTATATTATACAAAAGTCTTACATAATGCACCTTTCCAGTGTGTTTAATGCATATTGGCAGACTGGTTAATACAAAAGGACATTTAATGCCAGTTTTGTTTGTAATACTGTGTGTGACATAAGTTGGTAAGTTGCCCTAGCAATGAATAGAAAAGGCAGGGCTTTTTTTTCACTTCTAAAAAACTGAAGAGGTTTATTGTATAGTAACTGTTACTGTAGTTTATTAAAAAAAAAACAGAAGAGGGTCATCATGGCCCAAGGTAACTTACTTAAGAACCACTGATAACAAGAGTGTGAGTTTGGCACAAAATAGGACCATCAGCATTATGGTTCAGAACATTTATAATAAAATCCCACAATTCATGATGACTACATGATCAATACGCGCATCAAACTGAAGCCATTCATATATTATTTTTGTAGAGAGCCAACTAAAGATAATATTCCTGTGAAGTTTGGTCAAAAATCTACCATATGGTTCAGGCAGGAGATGTTTAAATATTTTGTTGATAACAATGCATGGAAAACATCATAAAAGCTCACCAGTCTGAGCACTGTGAGTATATATAAATTATGCAGAGTAAAAAGCTAAATTATATTGTATCAAGTTGAATTACAGGGATTTTTTTTGGCTTATTTTATAGCCGTTATTCGGTCATATTCCCAATTAAAAATAGTATATTATTTTCCCAATCCACAGTAAAAAAATTCCCAATTGAAAGTTACAAAATAAAAATATTGAATAAAAATTCTAAAATCTTTGAAAGTTTAAGGGCTCCTTCACTGTAATAGTGCTTAAATGTTTGTAGATGCCATCCTAGACAGTATTTGTTTGCATCCATTAAATAATTGTAAAATTTCAGTCATGCATTTTTTCCCAATTTTTAACAAAACACCGCTGAAATTCCCAATACCATGGGTATGGGTCATGTTCCCAAAATCCTTAAAAAAATCCCTGAATTATTTGTATACCTATAAATTGTAATATGTCAGAAAATATAAAATTAATCATCATTAAATATCAAAATATTTTTCATAAAATAATAAATACCACTTTATGGCAGCATATTTCACTTACATGACTACATTAACAATTAATTGACTGCATGAAATGTAAAGCCTACCAGTATGCTAATAACAAGAGGGCCATGATGGCCCTGAAGTCGCTCACCTGTATATAGGCCCCCAGAGCGGGGCCAGTTTAAACCCCAGGGCTTTTATTTGAACAAACTTGGTAGACACCCATTAGAAGATATTTCATGCTTAACATCTAAGGTCTAGCTGGTCAAGTTTTTTTCTTTACACATATAGTTAAAAACAATGACACACCTGGGGCAGGGCCAGTTTTGACCCAAGGGCTTTTATTTGAACAATCTTTGTAGACACTTACTAGACAAGAGCGATCAGTAATCACATGTATCGCCTCATGATGGCCAATTTCATGTTGGGACAAATTTTGTGACAGACGGACAGACAGACAGACAGTGCACAACTAGACTTGGTACTGATCATTCCTGTAAAGTTTGGATAAAATTGCACCAGTAGTTTATGAGGAGTAGTCCGGACAAGTTTTTGCATATCTGGCAACACACAGAAAAAAACACCTTTTTATCAAAGGGCCAAAACTCGGCCAAAAATCATTCAACCGGAAAACCCGTGCCATATGCGCAAGGACTTGAGCTACAGATCAATCCTGTAAAGTTTCATTGAAATTGCATTAGTGGTATAAGAGAAGTAGTCCGGACAAACTTTAAAATTAAAAATTATTAAAGGGCCATAACTCTGACAAAAATCATTGAACCGGAAAATGCTGACAATATGCACAACTAGACTTGGTACTGATCATTCCTGTAAAGTTTGGATGAAATTGCACCAGTAGTTTATGAGGAGTAGTCCGGACAAGTTTTGTGACGGACGGACAGACGGACAGACAGACGACGGAGAAGTGATCCCTATATGTCGCCACTACTCCTTAGAGGCGACAAAAAAATGTTTCATGCTTAATATCTAAACTCTAGCTATTCGGGTTTTTTCAAAGAAGACTTTTAAGTTTTTGCTATACACATCTAAGGAAAATCAATGTCAGCCTAGGCGGGGCAAATTTTGACCCCAGGGCTTTTATTTGAACAAACTTGGTAGACATCCATTAGAACATGTTTCATGCCAAATATCTAAGCTCTAGCTCTTTGGGTTTTTTGAAGAAGATTTTTTAAGTTTTTACTATATGCATATAGGGAAAATCAATGACCCCCTGGGGCGGGGCCCATTTTGACCTCAGGGCTTTTATTTGAACAATCTTGGTAGACACTCATTAGAAGATGTTTCATGCTTAATATCTTAGCTCTAACTCTTTGGGTTCTTTAAAAGAATTTTTTTTTAAGTTTTTACTATATGCATATAGGGAAAATCAAAGACCCCCTGGGGCAGGGCCAATTTTGACCCCAGGGCTTTTATTTGAACAAACTTGGTAGACACCAATTAGAACATGTTTCATGCCAAATATCTAAGCTCTAGCTCTTTGGGTTTTTTAGAAGTTTTTAAGTTTTTACTATATGCATATAGGGAAAATCAATGAACCCCTGGAGTGGGGCCAATTTTGACCCCAGGACTTTTATTTGAACAATCTTGGTAGACACTTATTAGAAGATGTTTCATGCCAAATTTCTTAGCTCTAGCTCTTTGGGTTCTTTAAAAGAAGATTTTTTTTAAGTTTTTACTATATGCATATAGGGAAAATCAATGACCCCCTGGGGCGGGGCCAATTTTGACCCCAGGGCTTTTATTTGAACAAACTTGGTAGACACCCATTAGAAGATGTTTCATGCTAAATATCTTAGCTCTAGCTTTTTTGGTTGTTTAAAAGAAGATTTTTTAAAGTTTTTACTATATGCATATAGGGAAAATGAATGACCCCCGGGGCGGGGCCAATTTTGACCCCAGGGCTTTTATTTGAACAAACTTGGTAGACACCGATTAGAACATGTTTCATGCTAAATATCTTAGCTCTCACTCTTTGGGTTCTTTAAAAGAATTTTTTTAAAGTTTTTACTATATGCATATAGGGAAAATCAATGACCCCCTGGGGCGGGGCCAATTTTGACCCCAGGGCTTTTATTTGAACAAACTTGGTAGACATCAACTAGAACATGTTTCATGCCAAATATCTAAGCTCTAGCTCTTTGGGTTCTTTAAAAGAAGATTTTTAAGTTTTTACTATATGCATCTCGGGAAAATCAATGACCCCCTGGGGCGGGCCAATTTTGACCCCAGGGCTTCAATTTGAACAATCTTGGTAGACACTCATTAGAAGATGTTTCATGCTTAATATCTTAGCTCTAGCTCTTTGGGTTCTTTAAAAGAAGATTTTTTAAAGTTTTTACTGTATGCATATAGGGAAAATCAATGACCCCCTGGGGCAGGGCCAATTTTGACCCCAGGGATTTTATTTGAACAATCTTGGTAGACACTCACTAGAAGATGTTTCATGCCAAATATCTAAGCTCTAGCTCTTTGGGTTTTTTAGAAGAAGATGTTTAAAGTTTTTTCTTTTGGATGCCATGGCAACCAGAGTTCTGCATGGAATGGAATTCTTTGAACAACTTTGTTAAGGCTTCACACAAGGAACATCCCTGTGAAGTTTCATTATGATCTGCCTTATGGTTTCAGAGGAGATGTCGTTTGAAAAGTGTGAACAGACAACTGACGACGGACGACGTACGACGGACGAAAGACGACGGACGAAGAGTGATCCTAATAGCTCACCCTGAGCATATGCTCAGGTGAGCTAAAAACATGTAAAAGGAATGTACACAATGCCATTATTAATCTGAATGTTAAATAGTGAGGGCAGGTCAAATAACTTATACAGTATTGCTTGCTTTTAAAGACACTAGTCAAGGCAGCATGGCCCTGTGGTTAAACTGTCGGAAAATCTAACGATTGCGTGTGTTCAAACAGCGTCAGAGACGAGCTGTTGTGAAGTTTTTGACCAAAAGAAATTTCTTTGAGCAAGAAACTTTACACTCATTACTCTGAGTACTGGTTGGTTCCAGGGACAGATTGGAGAGACTGAGTGTAAGCTTTAATCTTCCTGCACAAACTAAAACAAGTTCTGTGTAAACCAATGACAATAGATTATAGCAAAACACACATACATAATCATCCTTGGTACCCAATTTTTTTTCACTGACCAAGTTTTAATGAATCCTGTTATACCTGATTGCTGTCAATAGACACATCATTGTTATTAACTGACCTCCCATAACTGATATATTATACCAACCAGTCCTGATGAGTGTTATTCAATCACATTGCTTCAACATGATGCAGTATTGTACTTAATCAAGTAAAAAAAAAATGTTATCTTTTTAACCTATATTTTATTAAATAGCCTCTACATAAATTTAATTAAATTTTACCAGTAAATTTATAATCCTTCCTGATAGATGGTAAATGTAATTATTTTGATAATATTTCGAACATGTGACATGTATTTATTTCACATGACAGTATGGCAAGATGTTCTATTCGAGCCGCGTCACGACAAAACCAACATAATGGATTTGCGACCAGCATGGATCCAGACCAGCCTGCGCATCTGCGCAGTATGATCAGGATCCATGCTGTTGGCTTACAAACCCTATAACAAGCAGAGAAACTGATAGCGAACAGCATGGATCCTGATCAGACTGCGCGGATGCGCAGGCTGGTCTGGATCCATGCTGGTCGCAAATCCATTATGTTGGTTTTGTCGTGACGCGGCTCATTTATAAACACTTCAAATATTTGGAGAGAGACAGATCTGTTTGTTTCCTGTCACCTGCTCAGTAAAACTTTCACAACTTTATCCTACAAATTAATTTAAACTAAATAATCAGTATATCTTAAGTATCAATATATATATATAAGGGAGAATGAAATGATAAGTCTGCTAGCTTAAGGATAATTAATTTTACTATAAGAAATCATGAGGACAATAAAGAAATAAACTGTTTGATTTGGCCTAACCTTTTCTTATCAGCAGTATGGTTTATACAACTAAATCTAGACAAATAAGATAATGTAACCTAGTGGCAAACTTGGGTCAAAAATTAATGATCAATACATAATCACTTAAATGTTTTTTGGTTGGATTTTATGGCACACCAACACAGTATAGGTCATATGGCGATTTTCATGGAGGAAGACCCGAGACATTTGCTCTTCCATGCATTATTAAATTCAGGCACCTGAGTAAAGAACCACCATTCTGCAAGCTATTGCTTCATACACTTTATTGTTTTTTGGTTCATTTTTTTTTCATATTTTTGTTGTTGCTGATGATGATTTTGTTTGGTTTTAATTTGAATTTTAAATCACATAAACTGATTGTTAGTTCATATGGTGACTTTTTAGTGTTTTGTATGATTGAAAGACTATAAACTTCTGGTAACCTTGCATACATTTTTTCAGGCATTATATTTATAGCATGCACTGAAAATGACCACCTTACCCCCAATATAAGCTAGCTTGATAGTTTTCTAACAAAAACAAGAATAAAGTCCCATTTAGGCCTTGAACCCACAGTGACAAGAGGTCAGAGATTTGAAGTCATCTACCTAAGCCTTTAAGCTGTTTGATTTGACTTGGTTTGAATTTGAAACAGTCTATGCAAAGTTTAAAGGATCCAAAAACTTCTAAAGGTCAGTATCAGCTAGGAGCTTAGCAAGACGGCACAGATTATCAGGCTGGCCTGGTTCTGTACTGGGTACGAAGGTTTTTCACTTTCAGTCCCAGCAAGTTCAGGTTTAAATACTTGACCTTTAAACTAAACTTGTAATGCCCGCTTCACATCACACCATAATGCTTACCAAAGTATCCATGATGAGATTGTTCACCCAGGTCATGAGAAACCCCCTATGACTTGCATGCCAGCATTTCTATTTGCCAGGAATGGTAGCAGACTTCAGATAACGTGTGTCCTTGCACAAGTCATGTGTCTGTGGGAAAAACCCTTAGAGAATTGCAGCAGAGTTGTGCCCATACAGACTTCAAGGTCAGTGCAACTTGGACTATACATGGACTTTTTCAAGTTACAGATGTCCAGGAGTGGTTTAGAGGATGTCTTAGTCAGAACTGATTATTTTACTTGTTATGTTATGGCTATTTCCTGTTCAGAGGGCAACTACCAATTGGCATGCACCTTATATGAGCAATTTATCATCCATTACTCAGAGTAGCTGCTACATTCCATCATGGGGTCATGATCGCAGATTTACTTTAAGGTTTCAATTATATCGCTAACCATAAGAAATTCAAGGATGAATTGCAATACAGTGGGGATTTGTATATATCACAGTTCTGAACTGTTCACTATATATGAGAGAAGATGAGTAAGCAGACAGATAGCTCAGTCAGTTTAGCAGCTGAACAGTATTCTAAGTGTCCTGGGTTCCAGTCTCGGTCAGGCAGCACATTTTTCTTACCCTTTGACATGTGTGTAAGTTGGATGCAGGCCTCGTACATCTATCTTTCTGTTTAGGAAAAACCTAGTCACAAATTTCATGAAACACCTCAAGATCATTGCGCTCTCAGTGACACGTGAAATTTGTGAATTTCCTACACAGGAAGACACTGTACTTAGTAGATATCTTTTACATAATACTGCTAATTTGTATAATTTCACAAATAAAAGAAGTTTCCTGTTTTATTTATTGATTTTTTAAGATTCTTGACAGGTTACTATTATTATGGCCCTATAATACATGTATAAACGGTTGTTTTCAATAAGCAGGGTTATATAAAATTTATGTTAGTAAGGCCTATATATATCCAGTCAGTACTTGTATATTAAACCTATAATAATGCAACTTTTTACTGACATCAAGTTTATAAGAAACCCAGCTTTCAAAGAAGCGCCAGAAAAAGGCACACTTACAAAATTAAGATGACATCATATGTTTCACTACTATGCTTATGCTTCACAATAAAAAGCCATCATACTGGTTTAACTTTTCACTATTCATTTGAAATAAGTATATTTGAAAGGAGAAATATAGCACAAAATATACAAGAGCTGTCCGTAAGACAGCGCGCTCGACTTTTTTATTGCTTGCCAATAAAAAAAGTTTTTGCAGTAAAAGGCAATACAAGAATCTCTGTATTTTTAAAGTGAACAATGGCCATGAGCATTAAGATATTTAGTGAAGAATTATTTTACTGAATTGTGTGATACCCTTGAACACTGCAGGTTCAGTGGATAGGAATGAATTTTTTTAGATTTTTTAAGTTTTTTAGTGCTTGCCTATAATACAAAACATTGACAGTTAAGGGCCATAATTCAAATAAAATCTTTGACAGAATTACCTTCTCCTGGACATGTTTGGGAATCATGATTGTAAACAAGTATTCCAACTTTCAAATTAATATCTCAAACAGTTCAGTCAAAAAGTGGACTGGTACTAAAAACTTAACCAAGATTCTAAGTCGATAAAAGGCCTTAATTTTTAAAACAAATCCTTGACAGAGTTACCTTCTCTTGCGTACAGATGGGGGTAATGATGTGAAATAGCATTAAAAGTTTCAAAGCAATATCTCAAAGGGTTAAGGCAATAAGTGGATTTTACCCATATTCAATGTATTTTCTAAGTCAAAAAGGGGCATAATTCTGTCAAAAACCTTGACAGAGTTATGTCCTCTTGTCTGTTGATGAAGGTCGTGATGGTAAACAAGTATGGTCAGTTTCAAAGCAATACCTCCAATGGTTTTGAAATAAAGTGAGGTGGTACAAAAAACTTAACCAAGCTCAATACACTTTCTAAGTCAAAAAAGGGCCATAATTCTGTCAAAAACCTTGACAGAGTTATGTACTCTTGTCTGTAGATGGAGGTTATGATGGTGAACAAGTATGGTAAGTTTCAAAGCCATACTTGTAATACTTCTGAAATAAAGTGGGGTGGTACGAAAAACTTAACCAAGGTGTGACGCCGACGCCGACGCCGGGGCGAGTAGGATAGCTCCCCTTTTCATAGAAAAGTCGAGCTAAAAATGCAATAATAAATTTTATGCACACACACACATTGATAACAGTCTACATTATGTTCATTATTTTAAGTGTATGCTTCAGTTCTAAAAGGTATATACATGTATGGCATAGTATACAAAGTATTTAACCCTTTCACTGCCATAGGGACGGCTTATGCCGTCCCTGTTATTTTCGGCGTATTTGCCATATGGACGGCTTTAGCTGTTTCTATAATAATAATAATAATAATAAATTAATAATAATAATAATAAAAATAATAAAAAATATAAAGAAAATTATCACATCGACAATAATTATCATTATACTAACAGATTTGGAAACATATATAATTATTATAATACTAATAACAAAAAATTATAATTATATTAATTAATAATGTAGTGATTTCTTAGAAAGCCCTCTGGCAAATAGGTGATCAATTAAACAATAACCCTCTGGCAGCAAAAGGGTTAAGCCAAAATCAGAATTTGAGACATTTATTTGCATTATTATATGATATATATTATAATACTCTCCTAATTCTACATTAGTATTAAATCTATAAAGTCAAAATTGCATGCTATAGATTGCAGCACGCCTGAGCACAGACACATTTTTTTTTAGAATTCTGCTGGGTAATCAGGGGCATAACCGTATTGCCCAGGTTGTCTCTCAGCCTGCATGGACAAGCAGAAATTTTCAATGAATAATACCATTATGGACATGTAAAGAAATACTCCACATAAAAATGGAAAAGTGAGTCAAAGCCTTGGACTGTTTGATTTGTTAGTTTACAACTTTCTATAATATTTGTTTTATTCTGAACTGGAATGGGAACTTCATCCAGATCAATATGATGCATTTAAATAAAAGTAAAATAATACTGTTAACTAATCAGTTTGTTCAAATGTAATTGTTTCTTCTTTTGTTCCATATCCTTTGTTGCGTTCTGACACTATAGAAGTTATACACCCAGCAGTAACAGGCTTCTAATGAAACTGACTGATTTATGTTCTAGAATTTCTATTATTTTACTGTTTTAGAATTTTGAAATATTGTTCAACTCATTATAAATTCATATTTGTGTAAAATAAATGGTTTCAGTGTCTCATCCATATTGATTGTGCAAATGTATTTTACTTTCCTACCCTTGTATTGTAAACCAATCATGTTTAACATTGTAAATAATAAAATAGCAGTTTGCATGAACTGAACAAAGCTGAAACATAATCTTGTATCTTGTATAACATTAACCATTTTAATTTACTGTTAGGTCAGCATTAAATATTTAACAGACATTATAAGCAACAGTTCCGCAATATTATGCCTAATGGCAAATTTACAAGAAGGTATCATGATCAACAAGGGTGATATTGTCACAAAATACGCCCATCATAAAAGCTTTATATAGGTGACGATGTGGCTGATACGAAGTGTGGCAAGCAAGTTGGACCCTATACATATTTTCGTATTTTTATCTGAAATTTCACCTCTATGTGTGACCTTGGCTGC